CAAACAGTCCTAAGGGATGCGGTGACGCAGTTAGATATTTCGCGGAACAGATCTGCCACTTTTGACGCACATAAACAATCGTAAAGCCCTTATGCTGCAGGAATGATGAGGTTTGCTGAAGGTGGGGAGCTGTCGTGCAGTGAGGGGTTTGTGTGTTTAATAAACTACGACAGTTTGTGTTCATTAAACAGTAAGATTGATTAATAAATCCATATAATTCAGTCCCTTAAAGTCACGTCTTGCTTTCAGTTTCAGGCTTTGGCGCATTTTGCACTCACACACAAGCATACCGCACCAAAGCCCAAGAGAACTGTGCCTGAGCCCGATTTAGGGCACTCAAACTTCTCAAACGATCCAGGAAATGGGCCTGGGCACGGTTCGGATAGTATAGTGTGAGTACGCCCTAAAAGTGCACAGCTGCGCGCAAAGCAGGCGCCGTAGGTCACGCCAATCACTAAATGCAGAAGTACAAAGCAGGCTTAAGGCTGGATGTGCACTGTGCAATTTTAAGCCAAATTCTGATATGTGACTCTTCTTTGAATCAAATTAAATTTCAACTTTGATATTTGCTGTGCTGTGTTGATGCAATGTACAGGAGGAACAAAGAGGTGAATAACCTCTCTTGATCAGCAATCAGATAGTCGAATCATTTTATGGCAGGTTATGCATTTTGGTCAGCCCTCTTGAGAGAATCACGGAGTTGAATCAGAGCTGTTGACTGAGTTGAACTGTGTTTGTGCTCTTACTGCATTTGTGCTCTTACTGCACCCTAGTACTGTAAAAACTAGGGATGCAACAAAAACATTTACTTACCCTTCACTTGTTTCTTTGTTCTGATAAACAAAACATAAGATAATTTGAAAAATGATGAAAATCGGTAACCATTGACTTCTATAATATATTTTTCCTACTATGAATGTCAATGATTACTGGTTTCTAACATTCTTCAAAATATTTTCTCTTGTGTTCAACAGATAAAAAGAAACTCAAAGGTTTGGAACCATTTCATGGTGAGTGAATAGTGAGTAAATTTCCCTTTTTGGGTGAATTATCCCTTTAGAGACTATTCAGATTTTTCAGAGCAACATATTCAGTTAAAAGACTGTTTACTGTAATGTGTAGTGATAAATATGTTGCAGTTACTTACCATAAAAAAATTGATGGAAAATTCCAACTGCAGTACTGGACAGAGGATGTGTTTAAACCCCTGACCAAGGAACTCAGCAAAGGAAACTTGTACAGCACCTCAAATGAAAGGAAGCACATGATTATCATTTTAGGTTTAAAATTCAGCACAAGTAACAACATGACCAACTTCTTAATCCACATATTGTTTACCGATCAGTTATGTTAGGCAGCAATTAGATAAATTACTTACTGAACAAATCGCAGAACATGTGATTAATATGATTAGTTAGGGATATTTTTATACCAACAACACCAATAAGGTTAGCAAGAACTTTTTATTCAGTACAACATTAAATACTTTAGCTGAATTTTTTTTAATGTTCTACTGAAGAAAGAAAGTCTTCCTGTGGGGGAGTAAACAAATAGGGAATTTTTGGGTGAACTAAGTTACCCCTTTAAAGTCTGTTTTTTTTTTTTAAATCAGTGATCTCCGCTGCCTGATTGATAAGATATAAAGTGGGTCTCAGACCAGACAAATCACTGCATTAAATTCCATTCTTCAACGTCATGTCTTAAAAGTATGTAAATTTATTTTACCACAATATTTTCCATGGAGTTTTAGCACTCGTCTACATGTGTTTTACGTTTGAACAACTAAATGAATGCTTAAGTTTATTAAACGCATTCTATTTTAATTAAATTACATTATCATTGATGTAAAAGGCACTTTATGAATATAAAAAAGTCACATTAAGTTAACCTTTCGCTGGACGTTTATCGGTGGCTAATAAACACTTGCTGTGCATATAAGTTAGCCCATTAAGAGTATTATAATGCCAAAAACAATTACAGCATCTCACTTGCGTCAAAAAAATTCAAAAACTGTAGAAATGGACGCCCTTTACGTTACGTTAAAAGTTAATGTTAAGTTAACGTTACGGCAATATGGGCACACATTCGACAACCTCCTAAGACAACGTAGCACTGCCCTAACGCCAGACTAAATCGTTCTATAACAAAATAATGATGGTACTGTCCGTTCACAACTATCTAAAACGCACGTGTAATGTGAACCATAATAAAAGCCACGGTAAATTCAAAAAAGGACTAAGCTAACGTTAGCAACGTAACGTTAACTTTTCTTGTTTGGAATGGCGGATCACGGACACTGTCGTCACATCGAAGAAAATGCTTATTCTCTTGAAAATAACCATTTACTTCGTTAAAAGCATTATATATCAAGTCTACATACCTACATTCTTGCTAAAAAGAATCTTAAATATATATTTTGCGACATAAAAGCGAGATTTTTCAAACCGTGTGTAACCTAACCTGGGAGCGCGCTCGACGGTTGGTAGGGCGCTGTGAAATTTAAAAACTACCAAAATAGACAATCCGAACGAGACCATTTTATGCGTCTATGTAATCAACAAAGTATTTTCTGTAATAAACAGTCTGGTACAATATAAAATGTGACTTACTGTGCAAATGGATGTACAGAAATCCGGGTCTGGCGTCTTGCTTCAATCCGACTGCATTCTGAAGAGCAAAATCTCACTTTGGGCTTTGGCGCCGAGGCAACGGGATACAACGCGCATGCGCACAAAACAAACATATTTTTTTCTAATAGACTTTAATTAATTAATTTAGATTGGTTCAAAACACATAGAATTTACTTAAAACCAATTAAAATTTATTTATTAAAATCAACAACTAAATTAAATTGTTTAAAATAAACTAAATTTAATTATGTTTAATTTAATAGAGGCCTAAATCATTTTTTTCAGTGTATATTCACGACGATTAAATGTTATCTGTAACATTTACTCTGTAAGTTTTATCACATTGTAACAATAAATGTTGTTTTGAGGTAACAACACCATTACAATTATTTATCTTAGTTCTTTATCACTTTTGTTACTTTTAACGTTATATATATATATATATATATATATATATATATATATATATATATATATATACAGCAATGTCAAGTGAGAATAAAACTGTTTTTCTATAAAAAAAAACGAATTATTTTTAAAGTGTTAACTAAAAAAAATTTTTTTGCTAAATAAATTTCAAACTATTTAAATGGGTTGAATTTAAACTAATTAAATTTAGTAATGTTTAACTTTGTTTAAATTCACGCCATATAAATTGTTCACAACCACTTTACTTAAAAAATAATCTGAATATTTTTTTTTATCTGTATATAGCATAGCGTTTTTGATTGTTCATTTGTGTTTTATAAACTACTTATAATGTGTCGTTCAAGCAGACAATTTGTTTAGACAATTTATTTGAAGAGGCCGAAATAAAATATTCTTTTTCAGACAGAAGGAAAAATCAAATAAAACAAAAGCATTTTTGAAATTTACTTTTTTACTAAGAATTTCAGCAAATAAATGTTTTAAATGATAATATTCATGTGTGAAATTTTGAAGACGAGTTATTATGGGCTAGTTTATAACATGGATAAGCAATTTGATGGAGTGGTGTTTTATGCTGTATATTGATGAATTGAAATATTTAAGCCTATATATTTTTTCTAACGTTTTAAATAGAATTTTAAATTCCGTTTGTCATTAACAAAAAAAAAAAAAATCAACACTTTAAAAAGACGTTTTGTCCTTTTTATTAATCCCTTCACTTCATAAATTAATTTGTTTTTTTTTTTGGTACATGGGGAAAATTTAACGCATTATCTCATAATTAACGCAACATGTTTCCAAATATAGGGCATTTACGGATATGACCAAGCCGAAATAGTAATCGAAATGTGTGTTTTTTAAAGTTTTTTGATAGGTTGCCTCCTGTGTAAAATATTTCGACAATTAATATCGACAGACAACCAACTGGACAAAACAGTCCCAATTAGTATTAAATGGCTTGAATTGGGTACCATTAAAAAAAATTGATTTGCAGGTCAAAACATTGTTTAGGCCTAAATTTCGTTCTTTGAACATATTTCTCCACAAATAAAAAATGGATGTAAGTTTATATGGCCTGTATATCTAAATTAAAAACAAAAATATAAAAGATAGGCTATAGCTGTCACACAAATAGGCTATGAAGTAAAACAAGAATAAAAATGCAATAATATAGCTACTGCGGTTAAATACGTATATATATCTAACGATTTTAACAAATTATTAAAATATTGATCTATAATGTGTGTGTATTTTATATTTATATAGCTGCTTGTTTAGTTTGGCGGAATTGTCATTGTACGGCTTTAATTATTGTGCTTGGTTTGAGGAGATTTCAAACAATAACACAAACCTCTGCTGTTGCGTCATAATTAGAATGGAACATTTAGAATGTCTGGCATTCTTAAACAGCTTCTCTGTACAGATTTGTCATTTGGCTTGATTTTTCTGTCTGCATTACACGAATTCAACAGCGTTAGTGTTTTATCCAACCGCTTTTGTGATCATGGGACAGAAGAGAAAGAGAGATTGTTTTTCTGACAGCGATTGCGTTATTGCGCACAATTTCCATCATGGTGCGCAAACAAAATCCTGCCCCAACGAGGCGTTCGACCATCTCGAGCCCGTTGAGGAGAGGCGACCATCAAAAAAGATGAGGAGCGGGTCGTCTTCTACTTACTTCTCTGCTCAAAGTGTCACCTCTGAGGAGAGAAATTCGGAATATTATGATACTTTCATGGATTTCTCTGTGGAGAGTCATGAAGTTCTGAAAACTGACACCAACAGCGGCCTGAGTCTTGACGAGGCCAGGTCTAGTTCCAGCTCCAACAGCAGCTCCAGCGGGGCGTCCAGCTCCAGAAGCAGCTGCAGCAGGTCTTCCAACTCCAATACCAGCTCCAACAGGACTTCCAGCTCCAGCCTCCAGCAGGTCGTCCAGCTCCAGCAGTCTTGAAGGTCAGGAGGTTTAACATCCTTTATCCTTTTGACCTTTAAATGATCTCAATAATGTTCATGCTGTGTTCCAACAACATGTGTTAATATAATATGTGTTAATTACTTACTTTAGGTGTATTAGAATCCTTTTACTTAAATTGAGTTGGGAAGAAATGTGAAATATTCAAAATAATAGACAAATATTCTGTCAAATTATGAATTAAAATGTCAGCTTTAATCCTCTTGTTGTGTGTTCTCTTCTATAATGTTTATTCATTTTATTTTTTGCAGAAGATATTTTGGGCCGCTACCGAATTGTGAAAAAGCTCGGCCAGGGAGGATACGGGACAGTCCTTGAAGCAGTTCGTCTGACGGATGGTCTTGAGGTATATTTTACTCACTACATCTAGCAAAATATTTCTCTCAGTGTCTGTTCAAGTCTGTTTATTGTGTCACATGACATTGAAAAAGTTGAATGACTGTGATGATTTGAGCTCAGAGCAAGAATTACTAATGTTTTGTTTTGTTGATCAGGTGGCAATGAAGGTGGTTGTGAAGAGCAGTGACATGGATTACCTCAGCATTGTAAGCAGCTCTCTTGGTTTTTACTTCAAAATTTGTTAATTAGAGCCAAAAATGATTTTAAACATCACTGACAACAAATATCTTTCCTCCACAGCCTGGTCATCCTACACCCCTTCCGTTAGAGGTTGCTCTAACCATTCTTGCCAACAATGGTCCGACCGTTCCTCAGATAATCCGGATGCTGGAGTGGCAGGAGAGGTCTGACTCCTACATAATGATCTTGGAGCGTCCCTCACCCTGCGAAGACCTTTTTGATTTTCTGGAGCGGCACTTAGGAACCCTCAGTGAGAACATGACACGGCACATCATGTGGCAGGTAGTGCAGGCTGCCCACATGTGCTGTCAGCGAGGGGTCCTCCATCGGGACATTAAATTAGAAAACCTCCTGATAAACAAGGAAACTCTGGAAGTGAAGCTCATCGATTTTGGCTGCGGTGACCTTCTGAAGACCTCAGCATATACAACATTCTGTGGTATGTATTGTCCTTCAAGTCTGCAGTTTGAGATTTTACTTCTTCAACTCCATATTTTGAACAGCATCAGCTTTCTTACTGTCACTAATGAAGAAAATCTTCTTTTTTCAGGGACTGAAGATTACTGTCCACCTGAATTTAGATCCAGTGGCAGGTACCATGGAAAGGCGGCAACTGTTTGGTCACTGGGGGTTCTCCTGTATGAGCTGCTGTGTGGAGAACCTCCTAAAGACAGTGACCTGGACTTGACAGACGAAAGAACTTGGATCAAATCTGGATTGTCAAAAGGTGAGCTGGCCATTTATTACAGCAGAGAAAGCCAACTGTAAATCTAAATGACACAGAGGAATAATTCAGTGACGTTCATCAGTTTTGGCCTTCATGTTTCAGCATCATCAAATCTTATTGTTTGGATTGTGATTATTAAAGCAAGTAGATGTAGTTTAGGTAATAATAATCAGACTCCTCCATCTTTCTCCACAGAGTGCTGCCAACTGGTCCAGTCCTGCCTGCAGAGGAGCCCCAGGAAGAGGATCGCTTTGGGGAAACTCAGCAGCCATCGCTGGTTCAAGGTATTCAATTCTACATTTTCTTTCTTGAGCATTTTTATACAGGAGGTGTGTACTAGTGTAACATGGAGACCAACATGTGTGTGTGTTGCTTGTTTCAGGTCACCAGATAAAGAACAACAAGAAGTTCCAGAGCCCTCCATCAAGACGATTATATCATCTGATCTTCTACATCTTCTTGTCATGAGACTCAAATAAATGATTGTTTTTAAACACCGTTGTGCCTGAACGTCCTGTAATGGATTGAGAAAATGTGCCCGCAAGAAGCAAACCAGAGCTGATTCTCAACACTTACCCAGTTCCAGTGCTGTGTGTCAACACTGTCCTCATCTGTCGACACTCACAGATCCTGACAAAGCTGTAGCTGTCTTAACTTTAGCTTTAGTCTCTCCATCCCGAACATGCTTTATAGAGGGACCCTCAAGAGCACAGGTGTCAAATCCAGTTTGTGTAGGGCCGCAGCTCTGCTCAGTTTAGTTCCAACCCTGCTTCAACACACTTACCTGTGGGTTTCTTACAAGCCTGAGAGACTCAATGAGTTTGATCAGGTGAGTTTAATCAGGGTTAAAGCTAAACTGTGCAGAGCTGCGGCCCTCAAGGAACTGGATTTGACACCTGTGCTCAAGAGCATCCTGAGCAGCTGCATCAACTGAACTACCTCCAAACACATGCACTAGGAACTGTGTTTACTGATAAATGTAATGTTTCTGCTTCTGTTTCTGCTTCTGAATTGTTTAATGCACTTTAATGTCTGTCTTGCACTGTTTGCACCAGGTTGCACTTTACATCATCAGGTAGTTTACTCTTTAACCCTTGGTTCTGAGGTGTTTTGTGTTGTTTGTGTGTCTCCTACTGTTTTGTGTAGTTGTGTGTGATTTTTATGTTGTAACTGGATAAACATGGTCTCATTTCACTGTGTGCTGTTAAGATGACAATAAAGCTCTTTGCACTTGAACTTGCTCATCTCACTGTCTTCATGGTTTTAAAAAGGTGACTGTTGCAAGGTTATTTTAGTAAACAAAAACTAAAAGTAGTAGTCAAACAACTTTTACATGAACTGAAACAGAAATCAGTATAAATTAAAAAGTAAAATTAAATGATCACACTGTAATAAAAATCTAAAATATATGATCATTTTCAGATTTAATAAGCACTCTCTTTATGGTTGGAATTCTGGCTGTTTTCTCTATTCTGACAATATCTGTTATGATGATTTTACAGACAGACACATCAGTCAAATGCATGTTTATGTTCATTAAACATCTGTTATACCTTGTCTTTAGGCATATTTGACTGCAAATAAAGATTTAATAAGTTTCTCTGAATTCTTCATCATTTCTTCTTTTCTAAATTCAAGTTTGAAAAATAAATCATTTGTGATTTGATTTGCATTATCATGATTAATCAAAATGTAAATTCCTGAAGAGTACCCTACTTTTGGAGAGCCAGCTCATTTGCATTTAAAGGCACAGACAGAAAAAAGCTAAAAATCCATCTGACCCAAAAACAGGCTCTAATAAATGATCTGATGGTTATTTTACCTGAAACTTCATAGACACATTCTAGAGACTTCATCTTGATAAAAGATCAAAATAGGAGCCCTTTAAAATGCAGGATTATCAATGTTGAATAAGCACTAAAATCAAACGATTAGTACTATTATCCAATCAATAGGTAACCAGTGTTATGTGTAATTACTTACAAAATAACTAGTGTCTGTAATTAAATTGCTTCTCTACTGAAAATTAGAGTAAAAGATTCCTTTTCATTCATTTTCCATCTGCTTAGTCCCTGTTCCAGTTACTATGACCATTTATGTGAAGCTGCTTTGACACAATCTACATTGTAAAAGCGCTATACAAATAAAGCTGAATTGAATTGAATTTATTCATCAACAGTCACCACAGCGGAATGAACCGCCAACTTAGCCAGCACATGTTTTACACAGCGGATGCCCTTCCAGCTGTAAGTCAGTACTGGAAAACATCCATACACACTCATTCACACACATAGACTACAGCCAATTTAGCTTATTCAGTTCACCTATAGCACATGTTTTGGACTTTGGGGGGAAACCGGAGCACACACAGAAAACCCACACTGACATGGGGAGAACATGCAAACTCCACACAGACCCAGATGGGGATTGAACCAGTGACCTTCTTGCTGTGAGGCGAAAGTGCTACCCACCTCCTTTTCATTTTTATGTGATTTAATTAAAGTTACTTATAATATACTTGCTTAATACTTTACTTAATTTCAACAGTTCTGTATAAATCAGTTACGAGAAACAGAGTGATTGCATTTTTTGTGTGTTATACAAATATATTTTGTGGAATAATTGTATTTTGCAACTAAAGAGGTGTTATGTCCTGAGACGTTTCTTTAGTGTGCACAATGTGCTTTGTTTTGTTATTCCAGGGGTGTCCAAACTCGGTCCTGGAGGGCTGGTGTCCTGAAGAGTTTAGCTCCAACTCTAATCAAAGACACCTGAATCATCTGATCAAGCTCAAGCTAGATATACTAGTAACTTCCTGGCAGGTGTGTTGAAGCAAGTTGGAGCTAAACTAAGCAGGACAACGACCCTTCGGGACCGAGTTTGGACATCCCTGTGTTATTCTCTCTCTCTCTCTCTCTCTCTCTCTCTCTCTCTCTCTCTGTGTGTCTCTCTCTCTCCCTGCAGGTAATTGTGTCCACCTGGTAGTGATCATTGGATCTTTCCAGTGATTGGCTGTTGGGAGAAGAGAGAGAGAGTATTTAACCTGAGTTGCACTGCAAACTAGTGTTGGTGGTGGTTAGATGGTGCAGCAGCTGAGCTCTTCTCCACATACAGACATGTTGTTTACTAGAGCTTTAACGATTTGATTTAGCTTAAGTAGCTCAGTTGTGTTGAGGCTATTGAAGTCAATCTTCTACTAGTAATGATCTTCTTAACATCTAAAAATTCACCCAAAGAAAAGTGAGTCAGGTTGATTTGTTTATATTTATTTTAAGGGTTAAGTAGGAAGGTGGTTGTCATTTTTGTTTTGAATCATTTTCTCCTGTTTGTAACAGTAAAGAGTTATAGATTGTTGATGTATTTTTGTTTCTTTTTTTTCAGATTAGCAAAAGAATTATCTTAGGAGTTGGCTTGGTTATGTTTGTTGTTTTGGCTTTACCCCCTTCTGAATTAATACCCTGTTTTCTTTGTTACATTTTATTTCTGTAAATAAACTTGTCTCTTTTTCTTTTTTTTTGTTTTACCTTGTTTTTGAATCTCTAGCCATTCTGTTTGAGGAGTTGAGTTTCTCTTTTTCCAGCCATTGCACATCACCAACCATTTATTTTCTGTTGCAGTTACATCCCTAGACATAAAAAGATCATAACAGAGGATAGATTTATCTGGCAATTGTACATGCTCAAGAAACAATTATATTAGTTAGATAATTTGTCAATGTAAGATATGTATGAAATATAGTACCATTACTTTGAAAAGTTTTGATAATGTTGTCGAAAATGTAAATGTTCATTTTTTTTAACAAAACTAAAAGACTCAAATTTAAATGAAAGAATTTAATTTCTATTGTCTATGGGTTGAGATGTGTATATATTAATTGAGTAACGAAACTATTTATCAAACAAAGTAATTAAAAAACTGTCGCCTCAGAGCAAGAAGCTCGCTGATTTGAGCCCCGGCTGGGTAAGTTGGCATTTGTGGAGTTTGCATGTTTTCCCCGCGTTCTAAAAACATGCGCTATAGGTGAATTAAATAAACTAAATTGTTTCCCAGTGTTGGCTTGCAGCTGGAAGGGCATCTGCTGCATAAAACATGTGCTGGATAAGTTGGCGGTTCATTCTGCTGTGGTGACCCCTGATTAATAAAGAGACTAAATCAAAACGAAAATGAAAGAATGAAATTGGCCGTAGTGTATGTGTGTGAAAAAGTGTGCATGGGTATTTCCCAGTACTGGGTTGCAGCTGAAAGGGTATCTGCATAAAACAGGCATGTCCAAACTCGGTCCTGGAGGGCCGGTGTCCTGCAAAGTTTAGTTTTAACCCCAATCAGACACACCTGGGCTAGCTAATCAAGCTCTTATAATCTTTCTAGAAACATCCTTGCAGGTGTGTTGAGGCAACTTGGAGCAAAAATCTGCAGTACACCGGCCCTCCAGGACTGAGTTTGGACACCCCTGGCATAAAGCATACGCTGGATAAGTTGGCGGTTCATTCCACTGTGGCGACACCACATAAATAAAGGGACTAAACCGGAGGAAAATGAATGAATTTAAATAAAATTGAAATGATGTGATTAATAAAGAATTCCTTTTTTAAGTAAATTACTTATCCAACACTGCTAGAGTCTAACGAATAAGTTATAAGTACAACACCTAATGAATGAGTTCTTGTATAAATCAGACAGAGAACGGTTTATTAAAAATAAGCATTTGGCATGTCTAATATATACACAATGACACAGTATCAAAATACAGTAAAAATGTCATGCAGTGACGTTTCCCTTTTCTTCTGAATTTGGATATTCCATTTCCATCGACATTAAAAACGCTAGAAAGAGAGAAAAAAACAACAACAAAATGCATGTTACGTGTTGTATTCATGCCGGAATGCTTGATTCTGATTAGTCAATCACAACATTTTAAGTTGGACTGCTGATAAGCCTTGTTATTTAATTGATCATCTAATACTTCAGGAAATATGTTCTCAGATTGTAGTATCAATATGTTAGTCTTAAGAATATCTGTAAGCTAAAACAGAGAGTAAATTTAGGTTTAGAGGACATAAACACCCAAAGCTTGCAGTTTGTCACCTCCAAAAGGATCCCAGAATTGTTTTTTTTGACATCACCTGATACATCATTTTCTCAACAAACCTACTGACCAATTAAATGCGCTCTATGCTCTGATGTGTTTGAGCTCAACTGCTCTCACGGGCAGAGCGGTGATAAAACACAAGGCTACTGCCTGTTTTTATTTTTATTTTAGTTTTTTTAACAAAAAGGAGGGACTACTCTCGCCCTGTTTCAGTTGAGATTACGTCAAACATCAAATAAAACTAGATGTTAAAGTTTGAGGACAAACTTAATGGTGGCTTGGGAAGCCTGTTAGTAATTTATATAGTTTGAAAAAGTATCAAGTTGGCTAAAATAATATTTAGGATCCCTGCAGTCAACGACGTAACAACTTTAAAGACTGAACCAAGCCAGTAAAAAGCTTTAAAGTTGATCCATATGTCTGGCTGGTAATAGCATAAGTCTAGCATGAATTGGCATGATTCTAACATGAATTAGCATGATTCTAACATGAATTAGCATGATTCTAACAAATAAGCATGTTATCAACATAAATTAGCATGTTGTTAGCATGTTTCTAGCATTAATTAGCATGTTACTAGGATGTTTCTAGCATGAATTTGCATGTTTCTAACACAAACTGGCATTGGTGTTAAGATGATTCTTCTATGAATTAACATGTTGTTAGCATGATTCCAACATGAATTAGCATGTTGTTAGCATGTTTCCAGCATGAATTAGTATGTAGCTAGCATGATTTCGATACAAATTAGCATGTTGATAGCATGTTCTAGCATAAACTAGCTTGTTGTTAGCATGTTTCTAGCATGAATTAGCATGCCATTAACATAATAATATCATGAAACAGCATATAACTAACATGATTCTAGCATAAATTACCATGTTCTTAGCATGTTTCTAGCATTAATTAGCATGTCGTTAACACGAATTGAATTACCATGTTGTTAACATGATACAGTGTTTCCTCTGGAATTTTTTCAGCTGTGGCGGCAGTCTTTTATTTTACACAGATCTGCCAACTACTTGTGGTGCTATTTCAATGACAAATGTCGTGAGCAAAGCACTATCCTTAAATGGCATATAATATGATTCTAGCATCAATTAGCATGTTGTTAGCATATTTCTAGCATGAATTAACATGTTGTTAGCATATTTCTAGCATGAATAAGCATGTTATTAGGATGTTTCTAGCATGAATTAGCATGTTTCTAACACAAACTGGCATTGGTGTTAGCATGATTCTTCTATGAATTAACATGTTGTCAGCATGAATTAGTATGTTGCTAGCATGATTTCGACAAAAAAATAGCATGTTGATAGCATGTTTCTTGCATAAACTAGCTTGTTGTTAGCATGTTTCTAGCATGAATTAGCATGCCATTAACATAATACTATCATGAAGCAGCATATAACTAACATGATTATAGCATGAATTACCATGTTCTTAGCATGTTTCTAGCATGAATTAGCATGTTGTTAACATGATACTACCATGAAATACCAAATAACATGATTCTAGCATGAATTAGCATGTTTCTAACACAAATTAGCATAGTGTTAGTATGATTCTTGTATGAATTAACATGTTGTTAACATCATTCCAACATAAATTACCATGTTTCTAGCATGGTTTCTAGAATGTTGCTAGCCTGTTTCTAGCATGAATTAGCGTGTTGTTACCATGATTCCGACATGAATTACCATGTTGCTAGCATCTTTCTAACATGAAATAGCATGTTGTTAGCATGTTTCTAGCATTAATCAGCATATTAGCATGTCATTAACAATACTATCCTGAAACAGCACACATCTAACATGATTCTATCAATAATTAGCATGTTGTCAACGTGTTTCAAGCATGAATTACCATGTTGTTAACATGATACAGTGTTTCCTCTAGAATTTTTTCAGCTGTGGCGGCAGTCTTTTATTTTACACAGATCTGCCAAATACTTGTGGTGTTATTTCAATGACAAATGTCGTGAGCAAAGCACTATCATTAAATGGCATATAATATGATTCTATCATCAATTAGCATGTTGCTAGCATGTTTCTAGCATGAATTAACATGTTGTTAGCATATTTCTAGCATGAATTAGCAGTTTGTTAATATGATGCTAGAATCATGTTATATGCTATTTCATGATAGTATGAATTAGCATGTTGTTAGCATGGTTCCAACATGAATTAGCATGTTGTTAGCATGTTTCTAGCATGAATTAGCATGTCATTAACATGATAGCTGCGTCCCAAATGGCACACTATACACTATGCACTCATGCACTATGTACTTATGCACTTACACACTCAACAGGAAAGTATATGCATGTAGTGTTGTCCCAAATGGCACGCTAATGTTTTTTTACTAAGCGGAAATTCAAACCGTTTCCCTGATGACGTTTGACGGTTGCCAAATCATTGAAATAAACGACCAAACTATCATATAAAACCTGCCGTGAGTATTGCCGCATTCACCATCGGGAGGCGCTATAATCACTCTCGTCGGAGAATTTTGCTTTCACTATCCAAAATAAATAAAGTTATTCAACATGTGCGTCCGATAGCTCCGCCCCTTCCGCTACGTAAGCAAACCTGCGGTCGTTGAGTGCGTGAAGTGTCCATCATTACACACTTCATTTTAGCGGCTGAATGAGTGCATCATCCGGGTAATTGAAGTGCTCTTATTATTTTTAGTGTTTTCAGTGTGAACGCACTACTTACACTATTTATACTACAAAATGGCGTAGAATAGTGCATAAGTATGCGATTTGGGACGCAGCTGATACTATCATGAAATAGCATTTAACATGATTCTAGCATGAATTAGCATGTTGTTAGCATAGTTCCAACATGAATTAGCATGTTGTTAACACAATTTTAACATGAACTAGCATGTTGTTAGCATGTTGTTAACATGATTCCAACATAAATTAGCACGTTGTTAGCATATCTCTAGCATGAAGTTAACATTTTACTATAATGAAATAGCATAAAAATAGCATGAATTAGCATCTTTCTAGCATAAATGACCATTTTGTTAACTTGATCCTGTCATGAAATAGTATATAACATGATTCTAGCATGAATTAGCATATACTTTATTTAGCAAAATTAAAACAATATAGAGGCCTTTGCCTTTCATATTAGCCACTTCTGATACCAAATGATCGACTAGAAATCAAGTTATGATTTGTTGTTCCTAAAACTTGAATAAGCAACAAGGCTTTTGTCAGGTAGTGTATAATACATAATCATAACTCCTGTATAGCAGTCCCACAACATACTTTCCCTGTCACTCAAATCCTCTGTCAGAAAAGTCTAGTGACTGTGAATGACCTTTTTACAGTGTCTGCTATAACATTAATGTTGATTTCTTGTACATAGATGAATATGGCCACTGTGTAAATGCACAGTACAGTTACGATCTTATTGCCACATTAGATCGCTATGATAACATAACATCTCTGCCTTCGGTGATTTCCTGAAGATAAATACCAAAAAATAACACAACTGGAATAACTACAGCAGTCGCGATAGTCTGATCTTATATCAAGTATGAGCTTGCGATGACATATGATGACGTGTGCAGGTGTTAAAGTGCTGTCCTATTTCTTAGGGGTACATTTTGAAGCCCTTTACACTCTCTTTTGAGGGCCAAGGGGAAGGGGTATGAATACAAGAATAGAATTGGGATCTAAACACACTTCCTTGATCTTTACAGTGACATATTTTATTTTTTGCAATAACTAGCACTAAACTAAATCAAATGTCAACAATTAAAGAGGATTTGTTCATTGTTGCATCTTGCGGTCGATGCATTTGTGTGTGTTTTCTAAAGTTAAACGTCCTCCAGGATTTACCTTCAGTGTTGTCGATGTCTGGACTTGTTGACATGAGAATCCAGGCCAGGCCGACCAGCAGAGAGACCACCAGATTCACTGTGATCCAGGGGTAAAGGATGCTGCTCTCTGAGCCTGGCGGCCTGAGGAAAGACAAACACAACTCGACTCTTACTATTCTGTCCAGCATTTACCCAGCAAGCTCTACTGAGAGAGACGTCTTACCAGAGAGTAGTGTTATAGCTGGAGTACTTGTAGAGGTTGATGCGATCACTCGTCATCTGCTGGCTTAATGATAACACAAGAGCTGAAAAGTAGACTGGAGGAGAGAAAAGATATACTCAAAATACTTAGCAAAGGTTTGGAATTGAATGAATTTTCTTAAGTCTCTGGGCAATTTAAGGCTTGCTTGATGAATACAAACAAGTAAGCTGTTTTATTTTGGATGATATTTTACTTTTTCTTATATAGGCCTACACTTGACACAAATTGAGAATTATCTAAACAACTGGGCTCGAAAATTTAATACCTCAGATGACGTTTATTACTTTTTAATACTTTTTAATGGCCTTAATTTCGGCTAAATTCATTTACTACCTTTTACAATCCCGCAGACACCCTGTTTTAAAAGTGTTTTTCTAAAATGTACATTTATTTTGTCTTTGGTAAAAGTGTTTTTCCTATGTAATTGTGTCTTATGACAGGTAAAAATGTTTTCCAAAATGTAAATTTGTCTGGAGCTTTGTAAAAGTGTTTCAACTCAACTAATGTTGTTTTGCACTTCCCGGCCACCATACTAAGATGACTGCTCTTTTTTATGAGTACATAAACTAAACAGTTTGTTAATTTGAAGAAAAATCCATGATATCGGCCCTGAGCTCAGGTATCGGGAACGGAGAAAGAGTATCAGAACATCCCTAAACTGACTGCTTTTTTTTTTTTTTTTTTTTACACATAAAGGTTTTTTTTTAAGAAAAAAAATTCACAGACGAAGATCAACTCACAGACAGAGGCGAGTGCTACAGGACTCAGTCTCAGTAAACTCCTCATAGCGGCTGGGGCTTTGGCTAGATTGACCCTGTTAGCAGAAAAACAAGCACTCGTGTTGGATGTGAAGGACTCAGACAGTATTCTAGTATTTGTATCATGAATGTATTTGTATTGTGAATGTGACCTGTCAAAGGCAGAGACTGTGCTGAGAGCGAGCAGCAGGTACAGCAGGGACTGGGCAGGATACGCCAGTGTGTGAAACTGCTGCAGCAGATTAGACAGAGAGCTCATCTGATCCCCTGCCAACACATACACCACTATGATGTTCCACACCGCATAACCAGCCAGAAAACCATGAGAGAACAGACCAATCACCCTGCGGAGTGCAACGAAGGATACAAGTATAGCAAAATTACGATTCTTTAATTATTTTCATTGCAATTTCAAAAACAGTTTGACTCATTTGTTAAATTTGTTTTACTAACTAATAATAAGCAGTTAATTAGTGGTTAAAGTTAGTTAATAGTTTCTTAATATTGTGATTTGTGACTTAAATTGAAGCATTACCGTTATTTATTACAGTATTCATAGCGCTTCACTTTTTCCACGTTTGTTTATGTTACAGCTTTATTCCAAAATGGATTAAATTCATTCTTTTCCTTACCATTCTACACACAATATCCCATAATGACAATGTGAAAAAAGATTTTTTGAAATTGTTATAAATTTATTAAAAATAAAAAAGCTGAAAAATCACATGTACATAAGTATTCACAGCTTTTGCCGTGAAGCTCTAAATCAGGGGTCACCAACCCTGTTCCTGGAGAGCTACCTTCCTGCAGATTTTAGTTGCAACCCTGACCAAACACACCTGTTTGTAACTATCAAGTACAGCTTTATGTACTATTAATTGGTTCAGGTGTATTTGATCAGGGTTGGGACTGAATTCTGCAGGAAGGTAGCTCTCCAGGAACAGGGTTGATGATCCCTGCTCTAAATTGAGCTCAGGTACATTCTGTTTCCACTGATCATTCTTGAGATTTTTTAGCAGCTTAATTGGAGTTCACTTGTGGTAAATTCAGTTGATTGGACATGATTTGAGGCATACACCTGTCTATATAAGGTCCCAGGGTTGACAGTGCATGTCAAAGCACAAACCAAGCATGAAGACAAAGGAATTGTCTGTAGACCTCCTAGACAGGATTGCTTCGAGGCACAAGGCTGAGGAAGCTTACAGAAAAATTCTGCTGCTCTGAAAGTTCCAATGAGAACAGTGGGCTCCATTATCCGTAAGTAGAAGATGCATGGAGCCACTAGGACTCTTCCTAGAGCTGGCTTGCTATCTAAGCTGAATAATCCGGGAGAAGGGTCTTAGTCAGGGAGGTGATAAATAACCCGATAGTCACTCTGAGCTCCAGTGTTCTTCTGTGGAGAAAGGAGAACCTTACAGAGGGACAACCATCTGTTCAGCAATCCACCAATCAGGCCTGTGTGGTAGAGTGGCCAGACGGAACCACTACCTGCCTGGAATTTGCCAAAAGGCATCTGAAGGACTCTCCGACCGTAAGAAACAAAATTCTCTGGTCTGATGAGACCAAAACTGAACTTGTTGGAGTGATTGGCAGGCGTTATGTTTAAAGAAAATCAGGCACCGCTCATCACCAGGCTAATATCATCACTACAGTGAAGCATGGTGGTGGCAGCATCATGCAGTGGGGATGTTTTTCAGCAGCAGGAACTGGAGGACTAGTCCGGATAGAGGGAAAGATGAATGCAGCAATGTACAGAGACATGCTGAATGAAAACCTGCTTCAGAGTGCTCTTGACCTCAGACTGGGGCGACGGTTCATCTTCCAGCAGAACAATGACCCAAAGCACACTGCCTAAATATCAATGGAGTGGCTTAAAACATCTCGATGAATTTCCTTAAAAGGTCCAGCCAGAGCCCAGATCCTATTGAACATCTCTGGAGAGATCTGAATATTGCTGTACACCGTCTCTTCCCAGAGGAATGGGCAAAATTCCGAAAGACAGGTGTGCCAAGCTAGTGGCATCATATTCAAAAAGAGGTGAGGCTCTAATTGCTGCCAAAAGTGCATTAACAAAGTATTGAGCAAACGCTGTGAATCCTAATGTGCATGACATTGTTCAGCTTTTTTATTTTTAATAAATTTGTTTTTTTTAATAAATGTTTATTGTGTGTAGAATTTTGAGAAAATAAATTAATTTAATCCAATTTGGAATAAGGCTGTGACATAAAAATATGTGGAAAAGTGCTAAGAATACTTTCAGGATAAAATTATTAAAATTATTTAAAAAAACTAGTTATTAAAACTATTAAGTTTAGAAATGTGTTGAAAAAATCTTTCCATTAAATGGAAAAAAATATACAGGGGGCTAATAATTCAGAAGGGCTAAAAACTTCAAATGTAACTATTGCTATTTGCTATTTCTAAAGCAATAGCACAGCTCTGACTAAATATGAATGAAAGTTAAATGTCAGGAAATGCTGAGGGGTGACACCTGAAGCCGCTGTGTACTCTCATGGAGACGTCTCTGGTGGTCCACATTGAGCGGATGTCCATAATGCTCTGCTCGATCGGACCGCTGGGCTTCCACTGCTCCACTCGATCAGCCGCTTGAAAACGTCCTGCAGTCAAACAAACAGTTACACAACCTGCAGAATAGAGGCACTGGAACAACTTACACAAACATACACCTAAGTGTTTAGGTGTCAAAAGTTGTGTCTTAAAGGCATAGTTCAGCCCGTGCTCAAGACCGTTTGCCAAGTCTGTGTGAATTAAAGTTTATACTGTTGTGATTAACTTTCAGGAGGTGGCATGTTCTCCCCATGTTCGCGCAGGTTTCCTCTGGATGCTCCAGTCTCTCCCCACAGTCCAAAGACATGCACTATAGGTGAATTGGATGAAGTAAATTGGCCATAGTGTATGAGTGCATGTGTGAATGTGAAAGTTTTTGGGTGTTTCCCAGTACTGGGTTGCAGCTGGAAGGACATCAGCGGCGTAAAACATATGCCGGAACAGGAAATGAATAAAAGGTTATGGTGAAAACACATAAAGATTCTGTTTTAGATGTGCCATCTGAGTTATAGAGCACAAAATGGTGGAACATGTCAACTCTGTTAGTGCTTTTAATAGTTTGACAATAAACTAATCAACAATTAGCATCACATGTTCCCTGTCATATATAAAAGTCAACTGAAGTGCTTTTAATTGTACATTTTTATTTAATGTATGACGAAATCTCAACTAAATCAAATAAGGTGTTTTTTTAAGCTACCGTAAGTTATTTTCTCATATTTATAAGTGTTTATGTGAACCCTCGGTTTAAACACTCTTTGACGTGAATAAATTATTTCAGCATTCAGCAAAAGTTTCTTAAAGAGGGCAGGACATGTCAGATACTATAGAGCAGGGGTGTCAAACTCAATTCCTGGAGGGCCGAAGCCCTGCACAGTTTAGTTCCAACCCTGCTCCAACACACTTACCTGTAGGTTTCAAACAAGCCTGAAGGACTCAATTAGTTTAATCAGGTGTGTTTAATTAGGGTTGCAACTAAACTGTGCAGAGCTGCGGCCCTTTTGGAACTGAGTTTGACACCTGTGCTATAGAGCATTTGATTGGTCAGAGATTGATGAGAGACTGAAGTATGAGGTGATGAGAAAAAAAAACAAGTGACAAACCTGAAGATTTGAATGCTTGTATCTTCTAAATGTGAATTTTGTCACTGTTTTGGAGCACACTAGATTACAAATAATGTGAAGACTAACATATTGATACTAATTGCTTAAAAAAAACTTTGCATTATTTTGCCTTTTGGAATGAGTGTCATGTTTGTTTGTTTTTTGATGCACAAAGTACCAGTATCCACTAAATTGCATTTAATGAATAACCAAGGACAATTATTTAAGCTAAAAGTCTTCTCGAATGTACTGTTGAGTATAAAAAGTGATCAGAGGATAAGTTAATATACAGCAATTTTTTATTTTGGCCCTTTATACTTTTCCTTTGTAGACAAATCAAATGAGTTGAAACTCACGACTCTTCTCCACAAACACCTTCCCCACAGGCTGACTCGGCCCCTGAGGAGCCGAGAACAAGGAATGCTGAGGAATGGGTGACTGGGGGTCCGTGATGACATCATCATCCTCTACGTCCAGTTCATTGTTGGACTGCGTTTCTGTAACTTTAGGTTTCACCCTGGAGATTCAGAACAGTGTTAGTTTAACATCTAATTAGATCTAGAGAGCTTTAAAAAATTCCAACATACAAAACAGATGCAAAATCTAAAATCTCTAAACAGTTTAAAGTCATAAGTGGGGCTGGAGAGAAAATATTTTGCTATTTCAGCACAGAATTTTGTAAAAAATCTGCGGATTAATGCGGAATGATTTTGGGAGTATCGTAATTTAAAAAAACGTAACATATGAAATAAAAAATAAAACCTTTTTTAACTGTTATTTAATGTTTACAATGCAAACCCAATTAGATCCACTTATTTGGTAAACAAAGCATGTATCTCATCTAACATATCTACTAAAAGACAGAAAATATTACTTTACAAACTGTATTATAAATAAATCATATAAACATTTTCATATTAGTCAATTATAGTACTGGAATTTATTTTAAAACTGAACAAATATAAATTTACACAAGTAAATAAACAGACTCAACGATGGGCTAAAAATCAGCCGATTTCTGTGCGCGCATATTCCATATTCCTTTTAAATTCAAGTGACTTTGTAACCTTTAATAAAAAATACTTTCCCTCCCACTTGTAACAACCAGTTTTAAGCAGGCGAGGGTAACCCTGCTGCTCATAAAACGATCACTTTCCAAAACCTTTTCATTCAACGTTCCCTGCTGGTGGAATGATCTTCCCACACGGACTGCAAATTCGCTAGTATCATTCAAACGACAACTAAAAATCCCTCTCCTGCATGATCACCTGAACCTCTGTGAACAAATCCAGGACCCCCTCTTCTCCCACACCACATTACATGACAACCTCAAAACATCATGCAATTCTGATTGTGCCTCACACAGGTGAGTGGACTTGACAAACCACCTGTAGAAAACACTGTTTTCCCCCTGTAACAAATTAATCAACACTTGCACCAGTCTTTGCATCACACTCTTGCAATCATTCCAATCTAAAATAAATAAATAAATAAATGAAATATTATTTATGAAGTGTGCTTTACAGAGGTGAGTGGGCTAAACAAACCACCTGAAGAACCACTGCTTTTAGCAAGAGGGTGGGATCAACCTGTCACTCATATATGAACAAGCAACAGCAGACCACTACCATCAAATCAATTCTCAGTGGACTATTTGGACTATCCTGCTTATTATATTAATCATTTTTGACAATCCAGTTCACTCTGATAACCAATTCTGTAACTTCAGTTTCATCCTAACATCCAGGTAAGAAAGCGACTTACTTCCTCTTTTTCGGTTTGCGTGTCACTTCTTCGTCAGTATTCTGATCCAATGTATCTCCATTTGACACCAGGTCTGTCTGATCTCCCTCCGCATCTGACCAAATCAGAGCAAGCCGGCCATTATTTTGGGGATATACGCATTCATAAATTCATGACCCTATAGCCCAGGCAGGTGACAAAAAGAGAACACGCAAATGAACAATATTTCTACCGATGGCTTGAGCTTTCTTCTTCTTTTTCCTCCTTTGTGGCGGATTGTCCAGAGGCTCCGGGGTCAACGGCTCCGGACATTCAGATTGTCTGCGACTGGCGAGGCCTCCCATTTCCATTCCACCATCTACAAAAGTGATACAGCCACCTTATTACATAAAGAACATTCCCTGTATATGGTGTAGGGTTGGGCGATAACGACAAAAATGGCATCTCGAAAATTATTTTTTATATAGAATGATAATGATATATATTTCAAAGTTGTTCATGCTTCCAAATTTAAAAGAGTACCCTAACAATGACTGAAGGAACAAAAACGAGTAGGTCCATTAAATGGCGTAACCTATTTTCAGGCGATACATTTTCGGTGGGGGCGAGGCAGTGGCGCAGTGGGTAGTTCTGTCGCCTCACAGCGAGAAGGTCGCTGGTTCGAACCTCGGCTCAGTTGGCATTTCTGTGTGGAGTTTGCATGTTCTCCCTGCCTTCACGTGGGTTTCCTCCGGGTGCTCCGGTTTCCCCCACAGTCCAAAGACATGCGGTACAGGTAAATTGGGTAGGCCAAATTGTCCGTAGTGTATGAGTGTGTGTGTGTGTGAATGTGTGTGTGGATGTTTCCCAGAGATGGGCTGCAGCTGGAAGGGCATCCGCTGTGTAAAAACTTGCTGGATAAGTTGGCGGTTCATTCCGCTGTGGCGACCCCGGATTAATAAAGGGACTAAGCCGACAAGAAAATGAATGAATGAAATTTTCGGTGGCTGAAAATACTGTACATCTCTAATGTCAACACACTTTTAGATTACCCATGTTACACATTTCTGCTGTGTGATTGGCTCTTAGATCAATATAGAGTAAAAAAGTCTAGAGCTAGATTTCCTCACCATTTCCTCACACTCAAGGGGTTCTAAACTTAAATTTCTTTTTTCTGTTGAATATAAAGCAAGCAATTAAAACAAAACATTGACATCCAAAGCAGAAAAAAATACTATAAAAGTCCACAGCTGTTTTTCTCCATATTCTTCAATTTTGTCTTCAACAGAAGAAAGAACTGAAACAGATTTAAAAGACGTAGATGATAGAGGTTTAAACAATCTATTTAAGGGCAAACATAATAATAATGAGGCATAAACCATACCCTGAAACTGCAGAAATCTTCTACAGATATACCGCCAACAGAAATTGATTTATTGATATAATTAAAATAAGAAAAAAAAACAAGTGCAAAAAACTACTAGGGAAAACAAACTTATGTGATGGGACTATTTGTTTTGATTGAACAACATTCCCCACATGACAAAACATCCCATTATTTCTGATCATGTATGCTGTTTACATCCCCTAAGCTGTAAAATGTTCATCTGTTCACACATTTTTCTTTGGCTTAGTCCCTTATTTATCGGAGGTCTCTACAGCGGAATGAACTGCCAACTATTCCGGCATATGTTTTACGCAGCGGATGCTCTTCCACCCGCAACCCAGTACTGGGAAACACCCATACACTCTCGCACTCACACTCATACACTACAGCCAATTTTGTTTACTCAATTTACTTATGCCAGATGTCTTTGGACTGTGGGGGAAACCAGAGCACCTGGAGGAAACCCACGTGGACACGGGGAGAACATGCAAACTCCACACAGAAATGCCATGTAAAATGTTTAGTTTAATGGTATATTTAAGATATTTGTGATTCCCAATTGCTTCATGCTTTTGAATAGCATTGAAAGGGCCCTGGCATCTGCTCTCTCATCTTCTGGTGTGAAAAATTCAACAGTGACATTTTAAGTATTTTGAAATAAAATATTGAATGAATGTAACTTGCAGTAAAAAACAGCCTGTACTTTTTACTTTTTATAACAGATTGTCTCTTGCATGTGTATATGCATCCGATAGGTCAGTCCTACAGGTCTGAAATTAGCTCTTAATAGTCTGAACCAAGCCTTCTGTCGCTATCCCTATCTGAACTCAGATACAACCCTGCATTGATGTACATATTCAGAATAGAATCTTTGCTTTAACCAATCAGAACCTTTTACCTGAATCACACCCTTTCTGCTCTTGTGCAGAGAATATGGTTGCTGTGTTGCTGTACTGTAAGTCAGAGCGGCCTGGGAATTGATTGTGAGTGTTAAAGCTGGCTTCTGCTGATGAACCTACAAACTATCTTCAGTAAACTTTATTTATATGAATCTCTGACTCCATCTCTTCTTCATCTGACAGACTGCTCACTCTTTGGGTTCAAACTGTAAATGATCCCTACAGGATGTATTTATTTCTTACCGTCAGGTTCGTCCACACTCTCCGCATCTCTTTTGGCCTTCTTTTTCCTACTTTTTGGAGCAGGCATTTCTTCTGTGATGAACAGAAGAGCTTCATTAAGCAAAATAACATTTTACCTGACAAAAATAAAATAAAATACTTAAAGGGATAGTTTACCCAAACATTAAAATTAGCTCACTATTTACTCTTCCTGAGATGCTTTTAAACCTTCATCAATTTCTTTCTTCTGTTGAACACAAAAGAAGATATTTTGGAAAAAAGCTGAAAACCGGTAACCATTGACTTTCATAGTATGAAAAACAAACACTATGGAAATCAACAGTTGACGTGTCTTCAAAATATCTTCTTCTTGTGTTAAACAGAATTATTAGTTTTGGGTGAACAATTCCTTATGTACAGAGTGTGACGCGGCTGTGATGAGAATCAGCACCTCCAAGTCCGAGGCTATTGGTGGTCCAACAGTAAAAGGTGGTTTGCCATCTCCAGGTTAAAGGAAAGTCTTTACCCTAGGTGGAGGAGTTCAAGTATCTTGGGGCTTTGTTCACGAGGTAGAGAAGCATGGAATGTGAGATTGACAGGCGGATTGGTGCAGTGGCAGCAGTAATCTGGTGGATGTATCAGTCCATTATGGCAATGGTTCTCAAAGTGTGGGTTGGGACCCCCCGAGGGGTCGCGGGACAATGAAGGGGGGTTGCCTGGTGATTTCCAAAAATCTATTTATTTTTATTAAACCATAAGAATTAACATATTTTATCCATAACCTACTGAAGAGAAAAAAATAGTCGTTTATACCATATAGTCACTATGATAGCTTATAGTTACTACTTCTATTGGATTGCAACCCCTGGGATAATTGCATTATATTAAAGACACAGCAATAGTGTCAGATGCAGCAGATTTCATAACACCTGGTAAAACTTTGTTGCCCATTTACAGCTCTCATACATTAAAAAAATTAAAAGAAGAATAGACTTGGGTCCATTGGTGTGTGTGCTCCATTGCATGCAAGGTTTCTGTATTTATAACCACCTCAGAATATATTGGGGGTCGCGACTCACTGGCATTGACATTTTGGGGGTCACGGCCTGAAAAGTTTGGGAACCCCTGCATTATGGTAAAGAAGGAGCTCAGCCGAAAGGCAAATTTACCGGTCAATCTACGTTCCTACCATCACCTACGTTTATGAGCTTTGGGTCATGACCGAAAGGACAAGATCTTGGACACAAGCGGCCGAAATGAGTGTCTTTTGCAGAGTGGCAGGGCACACCCTTATAGACAGGGTGAGGAGCTCTCTCACTTGGAGGAGCTCAAAGTAGAGCCGCTGCTCCTCCACATCGGGGGAAGTCAGCTGAGGTGGCCCAGGCATCTGTTTTAAATGCCTCCTGAACGCCTACCTAGGGAGATGTTCAAGACTTGTCCCACCGGGAGGAGGCCTCGGGAAGCCTTGATATGTTTGAGAAAATAATAAGCAGCTGAGCTCTCAGAACATAGTAAACATAGGAAGTGTGTTTATGCATGCACAATATAATTTGTTGTTTTACTCCATAGAACTCCATATAAAGGTTGGAAACTTTTTGCACATGCCTATGTAAAGGGTTAATGCTGCCAACTGATGATCAACAGTAAAAATGAAAAGATTGACCTCTTCCCAAAAGAAAAAAAACTCCAAAAATCAAAAATGTCATTATAATGGAAGTCAATGGGGCAAAAACAGCCACAAGCACAACAAACAATTTGAACAATAGACAAGGATTAAAGACATTTCATAACACACTAATACCTACACAAACACATAACATGAATGAGATATTTTGTCACTTCATTCCAATAAGAAAGAAACACTCTATGAGAAAGACTCACCTGCTGTGTCTTGACTGTGTGTTTGAAGACATAATGAAGAAAGAGGAAAGAAACAAGACTCAGCCCTTCATTATCCTTTATAGACTACAACAAACAACATCTAATAAGAAAGGTGATCTTACCTTGGCATAGACGGCAGTGCTCGAGGTGTCCGCTGAAATGATAAAAGCTAACATTAGATTATACAAAAACGCTCGAGTCAAGCTGTCTATTTATTGTGACTTATAAAGCTTACCATTGCCCTTCTGGCCATTGCTCTCAAGAGTACAGAAGAAAGACAATGAAAGAAACGTGGACATTTGCCCATGTACACACAAACATCTTTGTGTGCTTAAAGCGAGGATTAATGGAAGTCTAAATCTGAGACGGGCATCTGCCAAGAGCAGGATTATGTAAAGGAGGAGCTACTCAGGAGATCAAATAGTGTTATTCAACCTTCTGACATAAACACGCAGCCTTTATCTAGATATAGGCTGCATTTATTTGATTAAAAATGCAATAAAAACAGTGATTGTGCAATGCAATTAAAATTTAGAAGAACTGCTTTTTTATTGTAATATATTTAGGATATAACGCAAAAACACATAGCCATTCTCTTATGTTACAATTGGGGTTTTTTTTTGACCTAGAACAGATAAAGAAAACTAAATTTTTTAAATTACATATTTTTAAGCATAGGAACAGAACTATGCAAGCGTTTTAAAGATATCGCTCGCCCAAGACTCACTCAAGAATTCTGTCACCATTTACTTCCTAAAAGGTCTTTTCTTCTGTGAACACAAGAGAAGATGTTTTGAAAAATGTTGGAAACGGGAGTTCCATAATATTCATTTCTACCTCAAATATCTTCTTGTGCGTTCAACATTATAAGGAAGCTCATAAATGTTTGAAAGCACTTTAGGGTGAGTACATAGAGAGTTTTTTGTTTTGTTTTTTTAAGAACGATCCCTTTAAGACGCTCAAAATACACAACGTTTTTTACAATATTTTTTAGAAGGCATAAATATTATAAAAATGGCCATTCTGGAACTGGCTATGTATGGACCAGGTTTAGATGTAAGAAATACTTTTTTGCTTACTGTTCGTGAATTGATATTATTATATTAGTCAAAATTATATTGTATATTATTAGAATGTAGTCTTCCTTCATTAATTCTGTTGATAAACATGAATATGCGATCAAATTCATGCAAATGATGTCAATGTTGCTATGAAAAGTTTTCAACAAATTTGCTAAATTTTTTCTAAGCTGTTTGTGTAGGCCTTTGTTTTACAATACTGTAAAAATACTCAAAGATATCTGTCGACAATTTCAAATAATTTTATTTCATTTACCAAAATCACACAAGTGCCAGTTTCACATCCGTAATGGAGAGATGTCATATCCACAATGAAGGATTTTCTACATAAATGCAAAAATGTAGGGATGCACCGACCCTGATACTTGGATTGGATATCGGTTCGATACCGCATATTTTTGCTGGATTGGGTATCGGCCAGCTGGTACCGATCTAAACCCGATCTTGCGCATGTGCTATATTGTGTGTAATTTATAAGCCAACAAAAGCCATGAAGGTAGCCTATTATAAGGGCTTTGAGGGATGATATTAAATACTGTTATTTTTAAATAAGATATATTATTTGAGTTAATTTGTAGAAACTTGAAATATTTGAGAACAATAGAAACTGTATTATGCTGTAAAAAACACAGTGTCGGGATCGGTATCGGTCGATAATTTTGGTATCGAGATCAGATCGGTTCCAAAAAAATTGTATCAGCGCATCCCTACAAAAATATCAATTAAAATAAATTATTTTTGCTTGGGTTGTGTGCAGTTTGATTCACTGAATGTTTAATGTTTAATTCACACATTTAAAATGTAAAACATGATTAAAGACTGATATTTTTCATAATTTCAGTAATTGTATAAGGAAGGTAAAAATCCTATGCAATGTAATAGTTATCGCCCTTTCAGTCTTCTGTGTGTTGTTTATAAAATATTAACATCTATATTAGCAAAACGAATTCAAAATTGTATAAAAAATGTAATAAACCAGATCAAATTGGGTTTATTTAAAACAAACATGGAAACAACAACGTAAGAAAGACATAAAATTTACAATCAATAGCAGTAAAAAGTAAGAAGAATGCAGTGCTTTTCCGATTGATGCTGAGAAAGCCTTCGATAGAGTTGATTGGCTATTTTTTAGAACAAACACAGATAGAAATGGGTTTTGGAGAAAAATTAGTGGAATGGATCAATATGTTATATTATGAGGGTTTCTGAAATACTCAGACCAACCTGTGGTCTTGACCATATCTACATGCCTAAATCCATTGAGTTGCTGAGTGACTGACTAGAAATTTGCGTTAACCAGCAGTTGGACAGGTGTACCTAATAAAGTGGCCGGTGAGTGTATAACGTTACCACAGACATACCCGCTGTCCTTGAGGAATTGGAGGAAGATCTCTTCTCCTTGAGCTGGAAACCTACACTTAACAATATGTTTATAAGACAATACACATACAACATTAAAGTTCGTTTTGTTATAAATTTGTGGGCTAACAGTATGTTACAGAACAAACTAAAAGTATGTTACAGAATACGAGTCTTCTTACTAAAGCAAGAAACAAACCTTTGCTTCCGGATCCATCCTTTCAATTCGTGTAATAGAAGGTTTATCGGTTCAATTAACTATTAAACATTATCTACGAATTTATTTGTCGTTTGTGACCTGAGATTTTGTTTTGCACGTTGTCCGTTGTTGATGTTGGAAACGAGTGGGCTGGGCTTGTCTCATTTCCCTGACGTAATAACTGTACCAGAGGCGCGCATAAAATCTCAACCTAAACCTAAGTATATAAGCGCAAACACTCTTTTATAGCATATAGTATACAGTAAAGGCAAGTACACAGATTTGCCCTGAGTATAAAATGTTACAGCAATTTTAATGTTTTGTCCTCTAGGCTCAGAAAAAAAATACATTTTTAAACTCTTTATGGCAATATTGGCTACAATAGGCCAAAGTTATTGTGGTTTTGCCTTTTATCAGAATCAGAATCAGTTTTATTGTCAAATGTGCTTCACACACACAAGGAATTTGTTTTGGCTACAGAAACTTCCAGTGTACAAAAAGTGACAAGTGACAACACAAAATAAATATGAAAAGAAAGATGATAAACATTAAACAAAGATGCAGTAAGTCAAGGAATCTGGATGTTGAATTGTATGTACAGATTTGTTATAAATATACAGGTTATACGGTGCTGCGTGCACATGCGAATGTAGAAAGTATTGCATTGTATATTGATATAAGGTGCTGTGTATAAGTATTGCATGTTTATTGCACAGTAGGGAAATATTTAACTGTTCATGAGGTAGATGGCCTGAGGAAAGAAACTTTTTCCTGTGTCTGGCTGTTTTTGTGCTTGGTGCTCTGAAGTGCCGACCAGACGGTAACAGTTCAAACAGGAAGTGTGCTGGGTGCGAGGCATCCAGAGTGATTTTGCGAGCCCTTTTACTCACTCTGGAAGAGTACAGTTCTTGAAGTGTAGGAAGGGTAGTGCCAGTGACACGTTCAGGAGTCCGGACTATTCGCTGTAGTCAACGGAGGTCGGTTTTGGCAGCTGAGCCGAACCAGACGGTGATTGAAGTGCAGAGATGACAGGCGAATACGAGCAGCTCCTGTGGCAGGTTAAACTTCATCAGCTGACGAAGGAAGTACAGTCTCTGCTGGGCTTTCTTCACAGTAGAGTCTGGGTGAATGTCCCACTTCAAATCTTGAGAGTTGGTGGTGCCCAGGAACCTGAATGACTCTACTGCAGCCACAGTGCTGTTCATGATGGTGAGTGGGGGGAGTGCAGGGGGGTTTCTCCTAAATTTCACTATCATCTATATTTTGAGCGTGTTCAGCTCCAGGTTGTTGTATCTGCACCAAAAAGCCAGCCGCTCCACCTCCTGTCTGTACGCGTTGTTATTTTAATGCTATTTTTATTTTAGATTAAGTTTTTTTAGTTTTAATTTTGTTTAGTAGTTTTAGTTTTACAGAGAAAGTAAACACATACAGTGTCGACCAGAGCAAAGTTTAGTGTTTGCACATTTACATAAACTCTTGTGCAAACCTCTTTGTAATGTAATGTAATGTGTATATATATAGCGCATTTATCGTGTATGGCCATACACCCAAAGTGCTTCACAATCATGAGGGGGGGGTCTCTCCACACCACCATCAGTGTGCAGCATCCACTTGGATGATGCATCGGCAGCCACAGGACAACGGCGCCAGTGTGCTTACTAGTGGAGAGACAGTGATAGAGCCAATTCAGTGGATGGAGATGATTGGGCCATGATGGGTAAGGGCCAATAGAGGGAATTTGGTCAGGACACCGGGGTTACACCCCTACTCCTTACGAGAAGTGCCATGGGATTTTTGATGACCACAGAGGATTGTATTGTGTGTCATTTTGAAAGTGCAAGTAAATAAAATATGCTAATTCACTTTATTAAACATAATTTGAATAATGTCCAGAAAATAAGTTTTACATTTTTTAAACACCATTTTAAGGACAAAATTATTAACCCCTTTAAGCATTTTTTTTGACAGTCTACAGAACAAACCATCATTATACAATGACCTAACCTAATACCTAACCTATAACCTAATTAGGACCAGGACCTTGGTGTCCCATCCAAAAGACAGCGCTCAAGGAAAGTATAGTGCCCCCTTCAATTTACTGGGGCATTAACCTCAAACAGATCATAGGTTGAGCGCCCCCTGCTGGCCTCACTAAAAACACTTCCAACAGCAACTTAGTTTTCCCATGTGGTCTCCCATCCAGGTACTGACCAGGCTCAGCCCTGCTTAGCTTCAGTGTCAGTGAGTAACCGGTCTTGGGCTGCAGGGTGATATAGCTCTGGCTAATAAAAATAAAATTATTGTTTTAACAAACACTGATCCCAAAACCACAAATTCTTTATTTTTTGAACTTGAATTTATGAAAGAATTCAGAGAAACTTCTTCAGATAACTTTATATGTTTATCTGCAGTTAAACATGCCTAGTTTGCATGTTTTTGGCAGAGAGCTTAAAGAAAAGATAGAACAGATGTTTAATGTACGTAAACACACATTTGACTGATGTGTTTGTCAGTAAAATCATCATTGTGGAATTGTGTGGAGTTTGCATGTTCTCCTTATGTTTCGTCTGGGGGCTACAGTTTCCCCCAGAATCCAAAGTCATGTGCTATAGGTGAACTGTGGATAAACAAAATTGGTTGTAGTGTGTGTGTGAATGCAAGAATGTATGGGTGTTTCCCAATACTGAGTTGCGGCTGCTTTGTAAAACATAAAACATGCTGGAATAGTTGGCAGTTAACTCCACTGTGGCAACCCCTGATAAATAAGGCACTAAGTTGAAGGAAAATGAATGAGTGAGTGAATAATTGTATTTCAGTTTGTTTTTCAGTAACTGTTGTTGTTTCATTTAATTTGTGTTTTTCATTTATTCTGATTTCTTTTCAGTTCATGTAAAAGTTGTTTGACCACTACTTTCTGTCTTTGTTGACTAAAATAACCTTGCAGCAGGCACTGTTTTAAAACCATGACGTCTGAGACAGTGAGATGAGCAAGTTCAAGTGTAAAGAGCTTTATTGTCATCTCAACAGTACACAGTGAAATGAGACCATGTTTATCCAGTTACCACATAAAAACCACACACAACTACACAAAACAGTAGGAGACACACAAACAACAAAAAACACCTCAGAACCACGGGTTAAAGAGTAAACTACCTGATGATGTAAAGTGCAACCTGGTGCAAACAGTGCAAGACAGACATTAAAGTGCATTAAACAATTCAGAAGCAGAAACCGAAGCAGAAACATTACATTTATCAGTAAACACAGTTCCTAGTGCATGTGTTTGGAGGTAGTTCAGTTGATGCAGCTGCTCAGGATCCTCTTGAGCACAGGTGTCAAATCCAGTTCCTTGAGGGCCGCAGCTCTGCACAGTTTAGCTTTAACCCTGATTAAACTCACCTGATCAAACTCATTGAGTCTCTCAGGCTTGTGAGAAACCCACAGGTAAGTGTGTTGAAGCAGGGTTGGAACTAAACTGAGCAGAGCTGCGGCCCTACACAAACTGGATTTGACACCTGTGCTCTTGAGGGTCCCTCTATAAAACATGTTCGGGATGGAGAGACTAAAGCTAAAGTTAAGACAGCTACAGTTTTGTCAGGATCTGTAAGTGTTGACAGATGAGGACAGTGTTGACACAGCACTGGAACTGGGTTAGTGTTGAGAATCAGCTCTGGTTTGCTTCTTGCAGGCACATTTTCTCTCAATCCATCACTGGACGTTCAGGCACAACAGTGTTTATAAAACAATAATTTATTTGAGTCTCATGACAAGAAGATGTAGAAGATCAGATGATATAATCGTCTTGATGGAGGGCTCTGGAACTTCTTGTTGTTCTTTATCTGGTGACCTGAAACAAGCAACACACACATTTGTTGGTCTTCATGTTACACTAGTACACACCTCCTGTATAAAAATGCTCAAGAAAGAAAATGTAGAATTCAATACCTTGAACCAGCGATGGCTGCTGAGTTTCCCCAAAGCGATCCTCTTCCTGGGGCTCCTCTGCAGGCAGGACTGGACCAGTTGGCAGCACTCTGTGGAAAAAGATGGAGGAGTCTGATTATTATTACCTGAACTACATCTACTTGCTTTAATAATCACAATCCAAACAATAAGATTTGATGATGCTGAAACATGAAGGCCAAAACTGATGAACATCACTGAATAATTCCTCTGTGTCATTTAGATTTACAGTTGGCTTTCTCTGCTGTAATAAATGGCCAGCTCACCTTTTGACAATCCAGATTTGATCCAAGTTCTTTCATCTGTCATGTCCAGGTCACTGTGTTTAGGAGGTTCTCCACACAGCAGCTCATACAGGAGAACCCCCAGTGACCAAACGGTTGCCGCCTTTCCATGGTACCTGCCACTGGATCTAAATTCAGGTGGACAGTAATCTTCAGTCCCTGAAAAAAGAAGATTTTCTTCATTAGTGACAGTAAGAAAGCTGATGCTGTTCAAAATATGGAGTTGAAGAATTAAAATCTCAAACTGCAGACTTGAAGGACAATACATACCACAGAATGTTGTATATGCTGAGGTCTTCAGAAGGTCACCGCAGCCAAAGTCGATGAGCTTCACTTCCAGAGTTTCCTTGTTTATCAGGAGGTTTTCTAATTTAATGTCCCGATGGAGGACCCCTCGCTGACAGCACATATGGGCAGCCTGCACTACCTGCCTCATGATGTGCCGCGCCACGTCCTCGCTGAGGGTTCCTCTGTGCCGCTCCAGGAAGTCAAATAGGTCTTCGCAGGGTGAGGGACGCTCCAAGATCATTATGTAGGAGTCAGACCTCTCCTGCCACTCCAGCATCTGGATTATCTGAGGAACGGTCGGACCATTGTTGGCAAGAATGGTTAGAGCAACCTCTAACGGAAGGGGTGTAGGATGACCAGGCTGTAGAGGAAAGACATTTGTTGTCAGTGATGTTTAAAATCATTTTTGGCTCTAATTAACAAATTTTGAAGTAAAAACCAAGAGAGCTGCTTACAATGCTGAGGTAATCCATGTCGCTGCTCTTCACAACCACCTTCATTGCCACCTGATCCACAAAACAAAACATTAGTAATTCTTGCTCTGAGCTCAAATCATCACAGTCATTCAACTTTTTCAATGTCATGTGACACAATAACCAGACTTGAACAGACACTGAGAGAAATATTTTGCTAGATGTAGTGAGTAAAATATACCTCAAGACCATCCGTCAGACGAACTGCTTCAAGGACTGTCCCGTATCCTCCCTGGCCGAGCTTTTTCACAATTCTGTAGCGGCCCAATATATCTTCTGCAAAAAATAAAATTAATAAACATTATAGAAGAGAACACACAACAAGAGGATTAAAGCTGACATTTTAATTCATAATTTGACATTTGTCTAATATTTTGAATATTTCATATTTCTTCCCAACTCAATTTAAGTAAAAGGATTCTAATACACCTAAAGTAAGTAATTAACACATATTATATTAACACATGTTGTTGGAACACAGCATGAACATTATTGAGATCATTTAAAGGTCAAAATGATAAAGGATGTTAAACCTCCTGACCTTCAAGACTGCTGGAGCTGGACGTCCTGCTGGAGGTGCTGTTGGAGCTGGTATTGGAGTTGGAAGACCTGCTGCAGCTGCTTCTGGAGCTGGACGCCCCGCTGGAGCTGCTGTTGGAGCTGAAACTAGAGCTGGCCTCGTCAGGTCTCAGGCCGCTGCTGGTGTCAGTTTTCTGAACTTCATGACTCTCCACAGAGAAATCCATGAAAGTATCAAAATATTCCGAATTTCTCTCCTCAGAGGTGACACTTTGAGCAGAGAAGTAAGTAGAAGACGACCCGCTCCTCATCTTTTTTGATGGTCGCCTCTCCTCAACGGGCTCGAGATGGTCGAACGCCTCGTTGGGGCAGGATTTTGTTTGCGCACCATGATGGAAATTGTGCGCAATAACGCAATCGCTGTCAGAAAAACAATCTCTCTTTCTCTTCTGTCCCATGATCACAAACGCGGTTGGATAAAACACTAACGCTGTTGAATTCGTGTAATGCAGACAGAAAAATCAAGCCAAATGACAAATCTGTACAGAGAAGCTGTTTAGGAATGCAAGATATTCTAAATGTTCCATTCTAATTATGACGCAACAGCAGAGGTTTGTGTTACTGTTTGAAACGCAGTGGGAGAAATTATACATCCCAAAGAAAACACATTAATTAAAGCTATAAAATAATAATTCTGGACAAATTAAACAGAAAAGCTATATAAATATAAAATACACACAGAATACAGTTAAATGTTTTAATATTTAGTTAAAGTTTTTACATTAAAAATATGCTTAAATTTATAATTGCTTCAGGCCTTTAAATAGGCCTACACTATAAGTTCTATTCTTGTTTTTATTGCATGCACTCTATTTGTGAGATCGATTTAGTTTTTTTTTTTATAAGCCATATACATATTTTACATTTATGTCCATGTAAACATAAATAAATAATCAATTAACCATCTCTGGGCTGCTGTAGTTTAATTAAAAAATTATATTTCTTATGTTACATCTACACTCAAAAAAATGAATTTTGGCTTTTGTTGGTCCAAAGAATATAACTATGTTTAAATTAAACAATTTGCTTATGTTTGTGTACTAAAAATAAAAGTGTTATGTTGGAAAAAATTAGAAAAAGTAAGTTTTCACATTTAAACAGCTTGCTCAATTAACATGAATGAAAGGGAGTTGTGTTGCTTCTGCAGTACTGCATTTTGGTCAATAGGTGGAGTAATATCTGCACATGCGCAGTTTCAAAACAACACAGGAAGTAAGAAGATTCAAACCACAACGATCACTCTCAGCTCGTTTAGATCGGCGCCATAAAATGGGAATCAAAAGATGAAGATTACAGTACAAATTGAGAACGTGCACAGAAAGCTTTTCTTAATGTGGACGCAGGTGAGATTTTTTTTTACTTTGTATGTATTCATACTGAGGCTGTGACAACATTTGAATCACTAATGAACTTCCTTGTAACGTTAATACTATGTTGTGTTTGTGTATAGTATTGTTATGAAATTGTCATGTTTCCTGTGTCTTTTTCACATTAAAGGCAGATTAATTTCTAGTTTTTTTGCATTCCTGTGAAATTTTATACTTGGTATATATTAACCCCAAAATAAAGTTGCAAATGTTGGTAGTAAGAAATAGTCTAATTTTAAATGAGTGTCAAGCAGTTTGTCAAGTTTTAATGCCAGTTTTTATAACTTACATAATATTAATTAAAAGGTGGTGTTGGCAAAAGCATATGTGACGCTTAAGTAGGATGACATCTAGCATGATGACATATTTAATGTAAGCTTATTTGTTTGGTCATCTAAGTTTAAGTTTTAAGTTTAGTAGTTTGCAGTTTTTTTTTTCATTTTTATTATTATAAATATATTATTCTAAATGCTATATATTTTATTATTACAAATCTTTGCTCACTCGCATCTTTTTTCTCCCTCAGGTTTACAGCTCAGCCTCTGTCCCATATCTGGTTGAGGAGACTGTGGATAATCCAGGTACTATGCCTTTAGATGCCTAGACACGCATTAAAATGATGTACAGTAAAAATTACTAGTAATTTTATCTACTAATTATTTAGTAAAATACTAATTGTCATTTCATGTCGTTTAGAACATCACCAGTGGATAAAAAGGTGTGAATGCATTCTCAAAGCCCTTGTGAGGGAGTACACAGTAAGCCATTTACTTTTAACTTTTTTTTTTTACATTTTGCTTTTTCCTCTTAAACTATTTCCTCCTTTCACCTTTGATCTGTTGGTAAACTTTTTATTTTTTTACTTGACATTTTTAGGATGCTGGGCATGATGAAGCACAAACCTTGATGTGCAACACCACCTTATGAATCTACAGTAGTTACATTAACATTTAGCAGACTCTTTTGTCTAAAGTGACTTACAATTGAGGACACATTCAGCAAATCAACAAGAAGAGGCAATACACCCAAGATGTGCTAATTATACAAAAAATTGTTAAGAATGCTTCTACATGTGGTTTGTCAAGCCCACTCACCTGTGTGAAGCAGACTTCATGCACAATGTTTTTTTTGTGTGTGTGTGTGTGTGTGTTTGTTTTTTTAGATATAGGGAGTGGTTGTAAGAAAGTATCTGGTGCAAATGTGCAGAAATGGTGCCCAGAGAGATGAATGTGTGTAGCTATTGCATGTTCTGTGATAGTTGGTCTAATTTATGATGTAATGCTGATTGTGTTACATTGCTTTAAAGTGGTAATCTTTCTTTGAACAACTAAAGTGTTATCTGCTTTTTCAGTGTAAAGAAGGTACAGCATAGTTTACAAAAGAAGACTTAATTTTTCTAAGTATATTTTTGTAACTCATTTAATGGCAGAATATTATTTTTAAATGTTTTTTGTAATATATGAAAAGTAATTTGAAAAGTGTATTTTATGATGTTTTTGTAAGCTTATTTTTGTAAATCATTTATTGTTTTTAATTTACTTCATACTTGTATTAATATTAATTTAATAGTATATTGTACATACAGTATTTAACTTATTGCAATAAATGAAGATACAGATGGATTTTGATAATCATTTTATTGCTGGAAAGTTTGTAAAACTGTAAAAATGCTATTGAATAAACTCAATGAAACAGAAACTGTTTTTTTATTTGGTTAAACATAACAATATCAATTTTAGAATAATTGAACTTAAATAACTACATTGATTAAAGCTAAATTATGAATGTTACATTGATTGAACTAAACAACAATACATTACCTTTATGTAACTAACTTAAGTTCACTAAAATAAATATTCTTTCTTAAAGGTAACTTAACTCAGTTACGTGGAACGAGTGGACAAAAAAAAGTTAATTAACGCCAACATGTCATTTTTTTTAGTGTATACAAAAACGCTGTAATACATTATCATACAGTTCTGGAAAATTTTATAGTGCTGAAATGCTCGTTTGTGTTATGAATCAATGTCATAAACAAGCCTAAGGCGTCTTTGTCATTTCACAGAAGAATATTGTCATTAAAACATTTACTTGCAGAAAAACTCAATAAGCTAAACCTGAACAGATTGCCTCTTGGCCAAGTCCTCTTTGTAAATGAGAACTGGTTCTCAATTGAATTACCTCGTTAAATAAAGGTTATTAGATGTTTTCGTTTTTTTTTTTTTTGCTTTTTTATTAGTCTGAAAACACGGAATATTTTATATCTAATGGCTTTTTCCTGCAATGATCTAAAGGCAAATGCTGTTAAAAAATAATAATAAAAAGTCTTATTCTTATTTGTAAAACATGTTTATAATTTTATGTCAAATATATTAAATAACTTTAAAATTAACAAAGTGATTTGTAAAATAAAGAACTTATATAGGTAATTTTAATAAAAGTGGTGTATTTATTGCTAGTACTTATATAGCAAGACCTAATTATATTGTTCATTCAGAAAAAAAAGAAACTCATCGTGAATATATTTTCAGCTAAACACAAAATTTATGATCATTTAAAGGAAATTGGCAACTATTAGCCGAATTCCACAGAAGAAAAATAAACAATTATACAAAATTAATAAAAAAAAATTATATATATATATATATATATATATATATATATATATATATATATATATATATATATATATATATATATATATATATATATATATATCATGTAAATGGTTAAAGTGAACTGTTGGTATCAAAATAGGCATGAATTAAAACATATTGTTTTTGTACTCTTAACCCGAAAATGAAACGTGTTAGTTTTTACTTGCCCATAACTCTTTTTAGCGATACATTAAAAGGTTAGTTCCCAACATTTTTAAAAGTACCTTTATAAGTTCCACGGGAAATGATGATCTATTTCAGTCTGTCTGTGCCTTTTAAACCATTTTGATGTTAAATTGATGAGTTTGAAAACGCAATTGTCCCATACATTTTAAAGAAATTGAATTCACAAAATGCTCGTTTGTGTATTTATGTCATAAATGCCGTTAACATTTCACACAAGAATATTATCAGTAAAACATTTATTTACAGAACATCTCAATCAAAATGTCTGCTTAACCTAAAAATATGTTTTCTTCTAAAAGCAAATACTGTTAGCCCGTTTTAAATTTTGAGGAGGCATACGTTAATTGTTTTAATAAAAAGTTGTATTCTTATTTGCAATATCTTTAATATGTCTTGTATATTTGTAAAATTACTTTAAAAGAAACAAAGGTGATTTGTAAAATAAAGAACTTACGAGTAATTTTAATACAAGTGGTGCTGATAACTAAAAAAAACAAGTAAATTGATTTATTGCTATCATTTTTATAGTAAGACTTAAAGAAATAATTCTAATCGTGAATATGTTTTCAGCTAAGCACAAAATCAGATATTTTAAAGGAAATTGGTAACCAGAGAGTTGACATTAACCGACTTCCATAGTAAAGGAAAAAGTGGCCATCAAGTTAATAGTTGCCAGCAATTGTATGATTACAAAATATCAGTAAAAGATCTTGTTTTTGTACCATTTAAACCAATAAAAACACCCAAAAAGTAAACTTATGTTACTATTTACTTGCTCTATGTAACTCTTTTCTTCAGTGGAAAATAAATTGTTTTGGTTTCAAACATTTAATATTTTCATGTTCCACAGAAAATAATCATATATTTCAGTCTGTCTTTGCCTTCAAAACCGTTTTTAATGCTTAATCCATGAGTTTGGAAACTTACTGTCCCATAAATGCAATGGAAAGTCATGGTAATACTCATTTGTACTTATTAAGGTTATAAATTACTGATAACGCGTTATCAAAATTTCACACAAGAATATAATTTAAAACAAAAAATTAAATGGTTTGTTAGACTTAAAAGGATAGTTCATTTAAAAATGAAAATTTACAAAATATCCATCAAAATATTTTGGTTTTGTATTTAAACAAATAATACACCCATGAAATGAAATATATGTTACTATACTTGCAACATACACTCACCGGCCACTTTATTAGGTACACCCGTCTAACTGCTTGTTATTGGACATTTTTAATCAGCCAATTACATGACAGCAACTCAATGCATTTAGTCATGTTGACATGGTCAATTTGATCTTATAAACGCTGCCTGTACTGATGAGTCTCGATTTCTGCTGCAGCATTTGGATGGTAGGGTCAGAATTCGGTGTCAACAACATGAAAGTATGGATCCATCCCGCCTTGTATCAACGGTTTAGGCTGGTGGTGATGGTGTAATGATGTGGGCTGTATATTCTTGCTATTCTTTGGGCCCATTAGTATCAACTGAGCATCGTGTCAACACCCCAGCCCACCTGAGTATTGTTGCTGACCATGTCCATCCCTTTATGATCACAGTGTACCCATCTACTGACAATGTCAAAAAGCGTGAATCATCTCAGACTGTTTTCTTGAACATGTCAATGAGTTCACTGCACTCAAATGGCATCCACAGTCATCAGATCTCAATCCAATAGAGCACCTTGGGATGTGGTGGAATAAGAGATTTGCATCATGGATGTGCAGCCAACAAACCTGCAGCAACTGCGTGATGCCATCATGTCAATATGGTCCGGAATCTCTGAGAAATATTTACAGTTCCTTGTTGAATCTACACCATAAAGGATTAAGGCAGTTCTGAAGGCAAAAGGAGGTCCTACCCAGTACTAGGAAGGTGTACCTAATAAAGTGGCCGGTGAGTGTATAATGCTGTTTGGTTGTCAACTTTTTTAAAGTATCTTTTTATGATCCAAGTAAATTATGCTATATTTCAGATTGACTATGCTTTTAAAACCATTTAATGTTAAAGTGACGAGTTTTGATATGATACAGTTCCCTATTAATGCCCCTAAACTCAAGCGACATTAGTTCTGTTCTTCTCATTAACCTATAAATCCTCAAAATCAACCACAGTTAAAACCGGATTAAGAGTGTTAAAAAATACCAAATCTCTTTTGGACAGCTTAATAAAGGATAGGTTTTATTATTTGATTTATCACAAGGCCAAACACAATGTCCAAACAAAAGATTGACACCTGAAAAAAATATGGACAAACAGAACCTTTCTATTAAGACTAGCATTACTACAGACAAAACACACATTGTCGCGTCTATAAAACATAAAAAAAAAAAACAGTTTGTTTTGCATATTGATGTCCATCTGTCGTCATGTAGTATCCCTGAGCTTTTCTGGTCGTGTCTGTTGATGCTAGGACTGGTCAGTTGGTCTGATCCATGAGGTCGGTACCCACTGCGGCTCATCCTGAGCTCTTCTCACTGCGGTCAGCAGCTGCACACACGCCGCCTGGAGCCCATCGTTTACAATCACATGATCGAAGAACTGACAGTAATGCTGCTCCATCTTGCGTCCCGCGTCCTCAATCTCCAGAAAATCTTCATCCTGTCTCAAGAGAGAGTACTTATAAAACAACAGAAACGAGGGTTTCTGCAGGTTTCCCAAAGTCAAATTTAAGACCTTTTCGAGACCACTATGAATGAAATTCTTAGACTTAAACAGGACAAAACCATAGAAATCTAATTTAGTTACTTTTTAAGCCACATATGTACAATAATGTGTCAAAACAAGCAAACTCTTGTTGTATGCATACACTTAAAAAATGTAGGTAATAAATGTAACTTGATTTAATATCTTTTTGGATGGATTGATGAGTGTTGGCCTGATTGGGTAGCTTTACAGGCACATAGGTGTCACAATTACCAGCGATCTAATCCTTGTAGAATGCTGGGAAACAAGCAGAGTCCATAGGACTACAAATCTGCAATTATATGGACTACAGATCCAGTCATGCACTGCTCACATACACCTGTTCCGGATTCCGCTGATTGCACAAACACACATAGCCGGAGGATCATTACAGACTGATTACAAGAGCTATTTATACAGCACACACATACACACACTTCACTGCTGAGTCTTGTTTAGCTGTATTGTGAACATTACTACGTGTTTTCCTTGCCTGGCCCTGCCGTGTTAGACCCTTGCCTTGTTTTATTGTTTATTCCTGCCTGCTGCCTGCCTTCTGATCACTCGCCTGTTATTTTCACTATGACTCTGGATTCTCTGTATGTACCTGATTGCCCTTGTGTTGAATGTTGCTTGCCTGACTTCTTCCTAATAAACCTGCATTTGGATCTGCAATTCTGTTGTCAGCAGCCTATTCACATTACAATAGGGCATTAACAGACCTGTTTAAAACGATTTAAGACCTACAATGCACAAATTCTAGACTTTTTAAGGCCTAAAATTTAGTTTTTGAAATTTAGGACATTTTTAGACCCTGCGGGCACCCTGGAAATATGGTATGGAGTGGTATGGTAGGACAGTCTTAATATTTAATCTAAAAAACACACACAGGTAAAAACATGACACTGTACTACAATGATTGTGCCCAGTAGTAAACCATGCTGACCTGAACTGTACTGAACTATACCGTTAAGTGGAAATCATGAACAACTATTAGTGTCTATTAAATAAGTATTTATATGTAATAAGCAAGAAATCAAAATCAGATCAAATTAAAATAGTATGTCACAAGTACTGGTATTTAAAAAAAAGTTACGAGTACATTACTAATAAACATCAGCTAATCAGTAGGCAAAGGTAAAAATGAACAGTTACCCTAAAAGGTCGGCTTGTATAGTAATTTGTGATGATATTGGAATTCATCCGAGTGCGCTTCATCTGCTCAACAGTAGGAGGCTTTATAAAGATGACGTAGGCCCTCAGCTCGGGGGTCCTCACTGACTCCAGTGCCTGAAAACAGTAAAAGAGTAAGTTCAGTGGCAATTTTGCTGGTTGACAAAGTCAAATTTCAGACTTTTCATTTAAAGACTTGCTGCCTCCATATCCTTCCATATTACATTGTGAATGATGTAGCCCGCACATGCATTTCAAATAAAATTTTTTTTGCATTAATTAATTCACCGAAAATACATCACTGTTACAGAAAAAGTACAAACAAGAACAGTAAACTGCTAAAATTAGTAAAAAACATAAAATGTTCAATGTTGATGAGAGAAGATAAAAAAAAAATATTCACAACTGTGGGTGGGGGGGGATGGGGGGGGGTTGGGCGGGGGGGGTTCATGGCCCTTTAAATTCAAATGAGATTGTGCTCTTTTTAAAAGAGGGCGGAGCTAAAAAATGCCTGTGTATCAATACAGTGGCAGTTCAAAATTAAGACTAACATCATATGCTAATGAGGGAGAGATTGTCACTAATGGGCGGGGCTTTCCCCCTCTGATGACACATACAAAGGGAGAATGTCAATCAAAGTGTTTCTGCAGACTGTTTTTATAAAGTGCCATTATAAAAATAATTAATTAATATATTTTACCATTAAAAGCTGGTTATGTTCACTGACTGTTGCCATGCAACTGTGCTTAAACCCTTATAAAAGTTATTTTTTCATAATTGATCCCCTTTAAGCTCTTATAGCAGGCCAATCTAATGGGGAAATGAAACTAGATGTAATACTGTACATGTATTATCAGCAAAGTGAACAAAATTTGAAGGATGAGAAAATGATACTAAAATGTGCCGCTAATGAATTAGCTACTAAATTAAAAAGTTACAAAATTGCGTTAAAAGTATGCTGTACTCAAATTTCAAATAAAAAATAAATTAAACCTAAAGAGTAATAAAATTATTAATAGCACAAAACAAAACAACTAAAATGAAAACGGAATATTTACAATAAAAGCTACAAATATTCATGCAAATCATAACAGTATATCAGTAATACTAAAAAACACACACATTTTCTCTTCAACATGCGGCAAATATTAAAGGAAGAGTTCACTTTTCTAAGCCTAAAAGTTAGCAACACACCTGCAAAAACAAACACTATTAAAACGACAAATGAATTAATACCAAGGGGAAACTTACATATGGCTCAATGTCAATCACACAGATCTTCCCACTTGTCAAGACATCTTTAACTGCATCCACACTAATGCCATAGAGATGACCTCTCAACTCCCCGAACTCAATAAACCTGAGGAAAACAGAGCAAATCTGTCAAATAATCACCCTAAAGCTGTTATATATCTGTTTATGCACAACTTAAAATATTTATTGTAATTGAATGATTGTATTTGTCACCCTCCTGTGACAAATATTTCCCAAAATGATGTTTAACAGAGCAAGGAAGTTTTCACAGTAATTCCTAAATAATTTTTTCTTCTGGAGAAAATCTGATTTGCTTTATTTCGGCTAAATTGAAAGCAGTTAGATTTTTTATTAAACTATTTTAGGGTAAATATTATTAGCCATCGCAAGCATTTTTTTTCTGATTGTTTAAAGAACAAACTCTTTTGTTTAATAATGTGTTGAAAAAATCCATTAAACAGAAAGATTTGGGGGGCTAATAACACAGGAGGGCTGATAATTCTGACTTCAACGGTATGTGTATTCCAGCACCTGTGATTGCACACCATGCTGTCGAACTGCTCTCGGCTGACAAAATGATATTCTCTGCCAGCTTCCTCATGGCATTTGGGTGGCCGTGTGGTATCTGGGCGGAAATTAAAGACTTTATAATCAGCAAATGCATACACTTTTAACAGAAATAAAATGCATTGTTAGATTCGCAAAGAGAAACTTACGAGGAACGGGTCCTTGGTAGACCTTTGGATTGATCTCAATCAGCTTCCTGCGTAACTCATTTACACCGACACCAGATGGACCTGACAGAAAAACACAGGCTCAAAATATACAGCAAAATGTGCAAGGGATGAATGAACTTTACATCACTGCTCATTAGTATTGCATAAAATGTGTTTAAAAGATGTGAAAAGATTATTTGAATATAAAAATATGTACAGTCGAGCCGACGAGCCCGAATTTCATCATATACCTGGCAAATCTGACTTGAAGTTATATTTATTCAAGTTTGTTTGACCGTAAATGACACAGGCTTTTACCAAACGATACAGTGCATCCGGAAAGTATTTATAGCGCTTCACTTTTTTATTCCAAAATGGATTAAATTAATTTATTTCCTCAAAATTCTTCACACAATACCTTATAATGACAATATATTTTAACTTTTTTTATTTTAACTTTTAATGTATTTTAATATTTTTTAACTGTTTTAAATGTATTTATTTAAATTTATTTTACATGATTTGAAAAGGCATACACCTGTCTATATAAGGTACCAGGGTTGACAGTGCAAGTCAAAGCACAAACCAAGCATGAAGACAAAGGAATTGTCTGTAGACATCAGAGACAGGATTGTCTTGAGGCACAAGGCTGGGGAAGCTTACAGAAACATTTCTTCTGCTCTGAAAGTTTCAATGAGAACAGTGGCCTCCATTATCCAAAAGTGGAAAATGCTTGGAGCCACTAGGACTCTTCCTAGAGCTGGCTTGCTATCTAAGCTAAGTGATCAAGGAGAAGGGTCTTGGTCAGGGAGGTGATAAATAACCTGATAGTCACTCTGTCTGAGCTCCAGTGTTCTTCTGTGGAGAAAAGAAAACCTTACAGAACGACAACCATCTGTGCAGCTATCCATCAATCTGGCCTGTATGGTAGAGTGGCCAGACAGTAGCCACTCTCTGCCTGGAATTTGGCAAAAGACATCTGAAGGACTCTCCGACCATATGAAACTAAATTCTCTGGTCTGATGAGACTAAACTTGAACCCTTTAGAGTGAATGCCAGGCGTTATGTTTGGAGAAAACCAGGTGCCGCTCATCACCAGTCTAATACCATCCCTACAGTGAAGCATGGTGGTGGCAGCATCATGCTGTGGGGATGTTTTTCAGCAGCAGGTACTGGAAGATCAGCCAGGATAGAGGGAAAAATGAAAGCAGTAACAGACAGAGACATACTGAATAAGACCCTGCTTCAGAGTGCTCTTGACCTCAGACTGGGGCAACAGTTCATCTTTCAGCAGGACAATGACCCAAAGCACACCGCCAAAATATTAATGGAGTGGCTTCACAAAAACTGGGTGAATGTCTTTAAGTGGCCCAGTCAGGGCCCAGATCTAAATCCTATTGAACATCTCTGGAGAGATTTGAAAATGGCTGTAGCCGTCGCTTCCCATCCAACCTGAAGCTTGAGAGGTACTGCAAAGAGGAATGGGTAAAAATTCCCAAAAGACAGATATGCCAAGCTTGTGGCATCAAACGATTAAGACGATGTACAAGACGCATCGCTGTTTTTTTTTACATTTGAACAAAAACTTTAAGTGAGAATTTTCCAGGGGTATAAATAATTTCAGGCTTGACTAAATATATATATATATATACTACAATATTACTGTTTAAATGGAGAATTTTATGGTTAGATGTCCTCAGAAACAGTTCACCCAAAACTAGCCATTGACTTCCAAACAAATACTATGGAGTCAATGGTTAATGTTTTTCCAGCATGCTTCGAAATAACTTCTTCTGTGATCAAACTGGTTTTTGACAAGTGAAGAATATGACAGAATTGTTATACTTAGAATGATGACATTATTTTTTAAGTGAACTAACCCTTTAGATACCCACTAATAGAACTATGAAGAGCTCTTCAGACACACTCACCTATCAGTGCTATGAGGCGGTGTGTGTGTTCTGGATGGTGTTGGTATCGCACCACATCCTCATAAGGGTTTGATAGTGAACTGTAGCAGCTAGCGGGGCAGCGAAGAGAGCAGAACTGAGACGTTCCGAAAGCCTGACCCCTTCGCCGGCGACAGAGACGCAAACTTCTACGAAATCCAGCTAATATGACAAGGAAACATTGAACACAAAGTCAAACATGCAAACAGGCTGATAAATCAGGAAGAGATACAGCAGTAAGTGGAATGCATTGTATTTTGTTATTAATCTAGTATAATGAATGCATGTAATATACTCTCAGTAATAAATGTACAAATGCTGTCACCGGAGCGGTACCCTTTCAAAAGAAACACTTTTGTACTTAAAAGTACATATTCGTACCCAAAGTGCCCATATTGTGCGTTAAAGCAACATTAAAGGTACATATCAGTACTTAAAGTGATAGTTCACCCAAAAATGAATGTATTTACTCACCCTCTAGTGCAGGGATGGCCAACCCTGTTCCTGGAGAGCCACCTTCCAGCAAATTTCAGTTGATACCCAAATCAAACACACCTGAACCAATTAATTAGGAGCTGAACACATGTGATAATTACAAGCAGGTGTGTTTGATATGGATTGCTCTCCAGGAAAAAGGTTTGTCCACCCCTGCTCGAGTAGTTCTAAACCTTTATGAGTTTCTTTCTTCTGTTAAACACAAAAGAAGATATTTAGAAGAAAGCTACAAAACTGTTCCCATTGACTTCCATAGTACAAAAAACAAATACTATGGAAGTCAATGGTTACAGGTATCCAACTTTCTTCAAAGTATCTTTCTTTGTGTTTACCAGAAGAAAGAAACTTTTAAAAGTTTGCAAAGGGTGAGTAAATGAATTCATTTTGGCTGAACTAATTAAAAACAGTACAAAACTTTCCCTTTTAAAAGGGTATCATGTCCATTTGTACCTTTATTTGTACACAGAAAGAACTTTTTGCTGACTTTTTGCTGTGGTAAAATCTAATAAATTTAAAATCTAATATAATTTTTAACTAGTAATATTAAGTGTCAATAACTAGAATTTTCTAAGTTAATAATGAATATTTACACATTTACTTCATGTAATAAATGAAACAAGTGGAAGGAGTTAAATATTAATATCAATTTACTTGTAATATTTAAATATTTTCAAATAGTTGCAAACTTAAAAAATATAAAGTAAATTTTAATAATTGATGTGTCGTGATGGATGTGTAGTTCCCAAAATGCTTTGCATGGGACTGAATTAACAGTAGAACATTTTGAAAATAAAAGCAATCTTAGTTGTGTAGATTTAAGAGAAAGACCTGTTAGAGTTTAATCATTATTAGTTCGAAGATAAAGAAAGAGTTTTGAGGCAGTGTTTTTAGTTTTGCGGTTAGAAGAAGAGTAGCACTCCTGCTTTGGATCTTGGCATTTTTTCAACATTATTGTTTGATGCTTCACTCAAAGAGCCATAGCTATGCTAATGCTAATGCTAACTCTGAGATCAGTAGGGACTTTTATAGTAAATTTGCTCTTGGGTTCAATTTGCTTTAACTAAAGTAAAAATAACAAATTCCAAGTCAGTGGAAATGTGTGTTTTAATTAAAAAAGTTATGCCAGATGTATTAATTTGTAACTAATAATATTTATTTAAATAAAAAAGCAGTGTTCCTTTTGCTAAAACATGAACTTGACATTATTTGATTAATTTAAATAAATATAGACTCATAATTAAAGATAATCAATTAACTTTTACATCCTTAATTAAGGAGTGTTAGATCAAATATTAAGTCAATTTTACATGATATTATTAAGGTAATTGTATCTGATATAAGAATGTAAAATTTACTTGAAACTTGTAAGAGCAAATTGTTACGAGGATTTTAAAGTAAATCTTAAGAGTTATTATTTTTTTCCAGTGTAAGAGTATCTGTAAAGAAGCTGTTATTTCACCACATTTTTTTTACCTGTCATCTGGCTGGCGAGTTTGACAAATTTGAACATTTTATTATGAGATGAACCAGACAAGTTGTTCTTTTTAAGTCTTGATGCTGTGAACATGAATCAGTAAATCTTGAAATGATCTGAGAGTCACTCACTCAAATAAATCCCCTCAATGTTGGTGCTGAATTCACTCTCCTCTGAAACGAAACAAAAGACACAATTAGAGAATAATCATCAACAACTGCAAGAAGAAAATAGTATAAAATGAGCACAAGCAATTGAAACTAAATTTTAAAGACCACAGATGGGCTATTTTAAAGTGTCCCAATTGTGTTCTGGATATATCCTCCAAAACATCTACATCTATCCAAGGTCAAAATAAATTTTTGCTTATACACACTGCAGGTTCAGCTCTTTTCTCACAGGATCTGAAACAGGTGGTTTGAGGATTCAGTTTCTCTAAACTCCTCCTCCTTTCATAGAGCCTGTCTATAGGTTTATATACAGTAGAACTTGTGAACACAATGACGTGTACAATAACAATGGCGTCAGTTTGACCTCGAGTCCTCCTTTGGAAGTGCATGTACTGATTTATAAAGATGGTAAATAGCATCTTCTCAACAACCAAAGCCAAACTATTCCAGGCTCTAGAAATAATTACAGTTTAACTCTTACAGTTTTCATTCATTCATTTTCCTTCTGCTTAGTCCCTTATTTACAGTTTAAGGGTTCGCCACAGCGGAATGTACCACTAACTATTCTGGCATATGTTTTACACAGCGGATGCCCTTCCAGCCACAACTCAGTACTGGAAAACATCCATAAACACTCATTTACACACACACACACAAACACACACTACGGCCAATTTAGGTCATCCAATTCACCTACAGTATAGCACATGTCTTTGGACTGTGGGGGAAACCAGAGCGCCTGAAGGAAACCCACGCCAACATGGGGAGAACATTTAAACTCCACATAGAAATCCCAAGTGGCCCAACCGGGATTCGAACCAGTGACCTTCTTGCTGTGAGGTGACAGTGCTAACCACTAAGAAACCATGATGCCGCCCTCTTACAGGTTTACTCTTTGTAATTACAAAATAGCTGGGTTTAACTTTAGACGGTTAACCTTTACTCATTCTCCCAAACTGCTAGATCAAACACTGCATTAAAGGAAATTCATTAGAAACACAGATTTGAGTTATATGTGTACACTTACCATCCTTTAGCTCTTCTGATGAATCATCATGCAGCAAAAAAAAAAAAAAACAGAAATACAGTTATCGGAGACAATAAGTTTAAAGTATTAAAATAAATATTATGAATCACAATAAAATAACTTCTGAAATCTAGTTACTAGACATCGTCACAGAAGTTAAAGATTCTGTTAAAGCTGAATTTAGTTCATTTTTTTTTGCTCCTGATATGTTCAGGACTTACCTACCAGATTCAAAAGCCTCCTCATCTGTAAACATTGAACAAAGACACATTTATTATTATATTATAACAAGCGTTATATAGATGAGGTTTCAATACTCATTTAAATGAGAAAAGAAATACATACCTGCCTCTACACATTTTTCATCTATGGCAATCATGTCATCTTCTGTAGAAAGAAGACAGAGTTTTGTGCCTTAATCAGAATATTATGGTATCTTGGCACATCATTAGCTAATTATTAATTAAAACAAATAACCAGAATTGCAAAGGCATAGCTTATTGTGGTAATTAAACTAATTGGGAATAATAAAGGTTTGAAACAAGTAAAAGTTGAGTAATGGGTGACAGAGTTTTCTTTTTTGGGGCGATCTATTTCCCTAATACTGAATGGTTTAGTTCTAGTCCTGCATGATCAATTGAAATAAAATCACAATCGCAATTAATCAAAAGCTGCGTTGGTCATTCACATTTTGTCTGAGAAACACAAATCAATAGTAAATGTCCTGCAAAGGCCAGAGGGCGCTCCTGCGCACAGAAACTTCAAACATTTGTTGGATAAACACAAATTTTAACTGTTTTCTTTGATTCAACCTCACCACATGACTATGGAATCAAATCACAGAAGGATTTATTTCAGTCACTCGACTGTAGTTATCTAGTGAGTTTGAAGTAAAGACATCTTATTAAATGTTGTATTTTCATGTGCTTTCAGATTTAGCAGCAACAGAGTGGTAGTTCACTGAGAATCTATTCAAACAGCTGTCACTATCCGCTTGTTAAGTGTGACGTCACGCGAAGCGCTTTCCTGGTCCAAGCGCTCTATCAAACTGAATGGGGAGACTCATCAAATGGTAATAATAAATGTTTACAAAGCGCTGTAATACTTTCAAAAATCACCATCGCAATATAGATAACCATGCTTAATATCCGATGGCCAGAAAGTGATACATTTTTTATAAATTGTAAAAATAATGGTGTCTGTGATGCAGCAAGTCCAGAGACTCTTGTGTACAGTACATCATGATTTTAAATGAAATTCACTTTAATGTGTGATAGGACTAAAAAAAGGTCATGAACGAATATTTTCTCAGTTCAAATGAGTAGTGGTTTGGATTGGGGAACAGTATTTGTCCGTCATGACTTAACAAGCAGATCGCAGAATGATTATCTTCAATTTCATAAACTCCAGATTAAATCATCTATGATCATGAACCCAATCCTGCATAGCTTGTCAGTGAGCTATGACTCTTTGTATTAAATGCAGCTCCATCTGAAAGCAGGAGCTGAAGGCTTATTACTGATTACAGAGCCTGCTTGACTGACAAACTGCGCTTGACACTGTTCCCCAAATGAAATGCTCACCTTCATCTACTGTGCTCACTGCAGGTTGCATGCAAACAAAAGATAAACAGCAACAGCTGAATAAAAAAATACATGCTGAACAATGCACATATTAAAAAAAAATCAAGTACACTATTTACTTACGGCTTTTGACACAAGTGTGAGGATGATAAGGCTGAGACCACCAGAACTCTTTCTGCTTCCTACAAACACACACACACACAGATCACATTTGGCCTTTAAGACTGGGGACAGCAGTGATTATCAGCATAATCGCAAAATCATATTCAAGCTGCCAAATCTCATCACATCATGGCCTATGCATATGCGCAACTACTCTGTCAGTGACCTTTAACCCTTGACTACTGAGAACTGACCTTTTCAGCAAGCTGGTGGAGGGAATGAGACCGGCGCACGCAGAGGTGCTGGGTAGTTTTACAGCTTGCCACCAAAGACTGTCTGACTGATCCACGATCTCTAGGATATCGCCCTTTCTGAATGCCATGCCGGCATCTGCGCATGGAATAGAAGGGTCCGCTTGAGGACTGTAGTCCACCATCGCACGCACATACAGCTTGTGGAGAAAAAACAAAGACATCACAGATGACTTTTAAGTATGTTAACCATATATCTACTTACCTCTCTCTCTCTCTCTCTCTCTCTCTCTCTCTCTCTCTCTCTCTCTAATATATATATATATATATATATATATATATATATATATATATATATATATACATATATATATATAGCATAGAGAAAATAAATTGTCTATCATTTCATATTATGTTCTATCGTATATTTTGTGGTGTCACAAACTACATACCTTTTCATAATTTATGCAAGCGCAATATTAGACAAGATAAAAGATGACAAAAGATGCACACAAAAACATAAACAATAGTATTGTGAGTTGCAATATTGTAAATATATATAAAGATGTTTATATAAAGTTCATTTTGCAGTATATTTAGCGATTTTTTTTTCATTTTTATGTTGGACCTGTATTGTCAGTGTTTGAAAAGTGTTCTATATTTTTTATTTATACATGGTACTATATGATGACATAAATCTTTATCAGGATAGTAGATGGTTTACCCTATAAAGTAAGTAAAAGTATCAGTTACACTCCTGACCCCTAGGTGTCGCTGTTGCACTGGTTGCTGTGTTGAATGTGCTTGAATAAAATATCAAAAAGCTGTTTTGCTGCTCAATTCCAGCTGAATACTCAAACAGCTGCATCCTAAATCACTTTTATAAGCATGACCTAGTTTACTCCTACTTTTTTGGAAATTCCTGGTGAGTCGGCTTGCCTATTTAATTCAGAGAACTGCATGCATGATTGATACCATGTCATTTTACTGATCAAATACAGAAGAAATAGCTCATCTAGGTATTCCTAGCTATTTATGCTAAAAACTTATCAGTGTTGAGGTTTGATAGCTCACCATGGTTTGGTTGTTGACTGGCCTGTCAGTGATGGGAACCACCTTAAACATTATAGTTCCATGTGAGTGGGCCTGTAGGAAGTAGACACAAAACTTCATGAATACTGATGATTTATCACTTTCTTGATCAATTTCTTGTAGACTGTTTTTGTTCTATTATTGAAAGAGATTGTGAAGAGGAAGGGATGACAATATTCTCCTAATATGGGACACCAGTACCCAACCAGCACATCATCACATGTTTTTACTAGCTCAGGCATGTCCAAACTCAGTCCTGAAGGGCCGGAGTCCTGCAAAGTTTAGTTCCAACCCCAATCAGACCCAACTGGACTAGCTAATCAAGCTTCTACTAGCCTTTCTAGAAACATCCTTGCAGGTGTGTTGAAGCAAGTTGGAGCTAAAATCTGCAGGACACTGGCCCTCCTAGACCGAGTTTGGACACCCTTGTACTAGCTCGTATGTCACATGAGATGTTTCAGTAACATTTAACTGATTACTCACTCACTAAATTTCCTCAGGCATTCCTATTATGACTTCTGGATATGCTGCAAAAGTATACTACTAAGTATACTAACCAGAATCTGTATGATCTGCTCTGGTTCTAGTCCAAACACAGGTTGACCGTTCACCTCCACCAGCCTGTCTCCAGCATGCAAGAGACCTTCAACAAGAAGCACAAGGACAACAAACAGGACTCTGAGAGATAATGTTGACTTAGAGACTATGATGTGCCAGCATGTGTATAAGAAAAAACGGAGAGTAAAACCAGTAAAGCCTCACCACTGCGGTCCGCCAGTCCTCCATGTATAACTCGAGCAATATAGATTTCCCCTGTAACATCATCTCTCCTGATTGTCGCTCCCTGTATTTAAAAAAACAAGATATCAGTCAAAATAAATACCTTATTCGTTATGTATCAAGTACAAAACTGGAGTTTATCTGATGGAAGTGGCATGCACGTGACCCGAACACAAAATGAACAACTTTCTTATATGAAGAGAAGGAATTCAAATAAAGAATGAAATAATCAAGAAGAGAAATGATATGAGAAGGGACGGAGTCATGGAGAAAACAAAGATATGAAAACCAATGAGAATGACCCATGAAAAAGAAAAACACATGACTTCCAAAAAGGTTGGATGAGCACTGATGTGCAAATGGTGACAGTGAGGACTGGTGGTGTCATATGAAATGCATATATGCATATTAAACATCTGAAAACCTGCATGCTTGAGCCAGCAAGAATCTGAAAGGATGTTCGTAACCATCCAAAACGTGGAAGCGGCTTCATTCCTTTTTCTTGTTTTTCTTCTTCTGGCTAAAGAAACATCTGAATGCTTTGCTGTTCACTTTGTGGCTCTGGGCAGGGCTGGACGGTAAGGAGCCATTGGTCATTGAGTGCTGTACATCAACACGTCTCCTTTGAGAAGATGGCGATGACTTTGCACTGGGATTAAATGATCCCCCTTTAGCTAGCACCGGCTGTTCTAGCAGACTGATGGCAGATGAGGAAGTCGATGAAGAAGAGGAGCAGGTGGGGCAATGAGAAAAGCGAGAGGAAGAGGCATTAGCTGGACTGGTGGGGACACTTAGCGATCTTTTGTCCATCTGGTCAACAATAGCGCTTGGAGCCCCAGAACATTGAGCTGATACTGTTGTTGGGTTGCTTGAGGAGACTAGCTCCTGGAGCTTCTCTACTACATGCGATAGCATCGCCAAAGCATGGGTATTCTCCTGCACGCTCTCAGATATGCGTTCAGTAGCAGTGGTCATCCTCTCACTAAGCAGGTGGACGTTATCAGAACTGCGCTCCATGCAGCTGGCGGCCTGCCGCAATGTACTCCGCAGTTCATCCAGACTTCCGGTTTCCATCCCCTCCAGCCTTCTTTGGGAGCAAGCGATGGTCTCTCTTAACTCATGACAGTGCATTGGACTAGGGGGAGCAGTTCTGCAAGTTACTGGAGGGGGACGATAGCAGCAGGATGACGAGGATACCCATGGGGCTGGAGTAGAGAATGTATGTGGCAAAGAGTTACCAACATCACTCTCTTCCCCGCTGTTTAAATCCTCAATTAAATTGCCTTCAGAGAACGAAAGAGACATGAACGGTTAAAGGGATGGAAACAGGAAGATTAGAGAAAATAAATCAACAAAACTAAATGGTAATAATGGAAGTCTACAAATCCACAAGTTTGGACCTTACCAATCACAACTGAACTACAGACACAAGGGGTGGAGCTACTGAGGCTAGGTCTCCATAATGCACTGCTCTGGTGGCAAGTGTTACAAGCATTGCTGTGGCTTGGCCTGGCAGGAGAAACAATCCTTGGGGAGGAGGGAGTGTTGATGGATGTGGAACCACCAACTCGTGGACCTTTAAACATGGCATGTAAGCTTCCGGCCAGCCGCCCTCTGGCTGAGAATAATCCACAGTGGGTTGCCTGTCTTAAAGTCTCCCAGCGGTTTTGAACCTCTTTACCAGCTACGGTCTATCCATGACAACACACAGCTCAGAGTGTTAGTTACCAACCAGAACACCTGATAAGAACAGCTATCAGTGAGATAAGAAATAAAAACCATAAATAATAGAAGGAAAGAAGTTATTGCTAAAATTCGTATTAAGAACAAGACTTTATACCACTAACAGTATTTATTGCTGTACCCTGTTGTCATGCTGATCTGAAAGGCAGACTCCAACAATGTACATTGAAATAAAGCATAGGTCAGTAAAAGCAAGCCTTGGATTTGCCTGTCACTCCCTTCTTCTGGTCATGCTCACCAGAGGCTGATTGTTTTTGACCAAGCAAACAATCCTCATGGCCTCCTCATCCTCAGGCAAGTCGTTAGGCAATGGTGGCAGATCTGGTTCATAGTCCCTTAGGCTTACCGTGTCATGAGCCGACAGCAGAGCCTGAAAAAAACACATGGTTTACATTATATTTCTATTCACAACCAATCAAATACTTCAAGTGTCCATAAAGATTGGCCTGAATCATTACCAAACTTACTTATAAATAGACTAATGGCCAACAAAAGAGGAAAAAACTTGCCTCTGTAAACTGTTTGAAGAAAAACACATATATTTCAATCCTTTGAATGAATGCTCACCTGTAGGTGTGGCTGACCAAGGAGGTCATATAGTTCTCTAGCTTCATTTGAGGGGTTTGGGACTGCCAGAAGGTCAGACAGAATCTAGAACAGAAAACAAGAACTTCAGAACTCATATTGCTATAAAATTTGTCGTCGAGACCACAATACCTAAAGTCATGACTTTCAGCAGACCCTCTAAAATAGGGATGGAAAAACTCTGGCCCTCAAGAATTAGTTGTCTTGCAGAATAAAAAAAAATATATGAAGATTTTGTAGGTTTCCAATTCTGCTCTGGGAGTGCCAGCATCCTACAGAGTTTAGCAACAACACACTTGAGTGGGATGCTGCATCCAAATTAGCAGACTGAGTAATTACATTTGCTTTTAAACTTTTTGGATGCAATTTCGATGCACAGAATGTTTCTGAAAATCTTGATTATCTGGTTTACATGTGTTTAATTAGGGAAAATTAGGATAGTTCTCTTTAAGACTGCTACCCCCTTGACTCGGCCCCAGAAAAGTGGTAGAAAATGAATGAATGAACTCTGAAGACCATCCTCTCATTCAACTAGGAGGCAGTTGGCCTAATGGTTAGGAATTTGAACTTGTTTTTTAAGGGTTGGAGGTTCAATTCCCAGCAGGGGAGTGAATGAACCACCCACCCTCTCTTAACCTTCGATACCCAGTTGAGGTGCCCTTGATCTAATTGCTTCCTGGGCACTGGAAGTAATAGTTGCTTACTGCTCTGGGTTTACGGTCACTGTGTGTGCTTTCACTCGTGTGAATTCCAAGTACAGGTAACCATATTTGACAATACTCACTTTACACACACTTCAAAATTACAACTCTAAATGGTACTATTTAAAAAGTCCTCACTTACTTTAAGACATTTAAGACACTGGGAGGTTTTTGACATTTTTTTGAGAAAGGGCAGTATAGACCAGGGGTCACCAATCTCGTTCCTGGAGGTCCGGTGCCCTGCAGGGTTTAACTCCAACTTGCCTCAACACACCTGCCAGGGTGTTTCAAGTATACCTACTAAGACCTTGATTAGCTTGTTCAGGTGTGTTTGATTAGCATTGGAGCTAAAACCTGCCGGACACCGGACCTCCAAGAACAAGTTTGGTGATCCCTGGTATAGACTGGCAAGATGTGAAAATGGACAGTAACAGCTAGCAGAGGAAACAGCTCTATACGCTATTGGCTTTGACAGAGTAGATGCAAACGTTATGAGTGGAACAAACTGGTTAAAAAATTATGCCAATAAACTTTAAAGCTAACCTGTAGAGAGAGTCCAGATGAATATGAGACATATGGCCTGGCTGGACCCCTTAGATGCCTCTGTAGACATTCATACACCTGCAGAGAAAAAAAGCAGACAATGAGCTCTCAATTTGTACTAATTACAAATAATCTATGTTGGATGGACTCTACCTTTAGTAGTGACTGCAACCAGGGGGCGTTGAGAAGACCATACAATAGTTCAGCTCCATTTATATCTTTATTAATAGAGCCTCTCACCTCAGCAATCACATGTGCCAAGATCTGTGTCAGACCTGAAACATACAAAGCAAAAACATCTAGGACTGGACACTCAGTACATTTCAGTTATGTGTCATGCTGTTTGGCTTCTTAAACAGCCTTAATAGTATTAATATTAACATGTTTCTAATCAGCTAGACATACTGAATAGATAAGTTGGCTGCCATCAGATTTAAGGAGCAATGTTTAGCTTCCTACCTTTGTCTCCCACCTCCAGTGGAGCTGACCCAGGATCAGTCTCCATGTCTGGTTTCATTGGCAATCCTGGACAGTTTTAAGGATCAGGGAACAAAAAGAAAAATGCACTGAACCTTGTCATGTAGAGCTGTTGGAAAAAGCACATGAACTCAAGTACAACCACTGAATAGTTGTTGCCTGTTGTAAATAAGTGAATTGTAAATAACTCGAGCTAGTAAACCTAAACCACAGAACCAGTCTCTACCATCTACTTAACCTTACATTGCTTTTGAGAAAGATAGAACCTTTTTGTAGTAGTAAATGCACCCTAACTCTGGGTAATATGTAACGTAATATTGGTTTAATTTGCAATCAAAGGGGAAATTCTGTCATCATTTTCCCACACTTCAATTCTTGCAAACTTCACTATTTTTTTCTTCTGTTGAAAACCGTTAATCACTTTCATAGTATTTGTCAATGATCCAGTTTTTAGCCTTCTCCAAAATATATATTATGTTCAACAGAAAAAGAGACTCATAAAGGATTGGAACCAGGCCTGTATTGGCTAATTGGCAGAACCGGAAGAATTCCTGGTGGGCTGGTCCCTAGCTGCCTGCACTCTCAGCAGTCGGACTTTTTTCATTTATTTATTTATTCATTATTTTACCATAGCCTCTACCTTTTATAAAAAAATTTTTTACAGCAGCTGCACACTTTTTATTTATTTTCTCGCAGCCCCATTAGCTAAATGCCGCCTGCTGGTTAATGATGACGTACTTATTATTCGACTACCCAACAGCGGCACCTTGCTCATTAGCAAAATCGTTTGTTAAGAGATGCGCAAGAGATAAAAAATTATAATAAAAAGCGCAGAAATGGCCATAATTAAAAAAAGCTGAGGACATTTTTCGTTAAAACCAGCCTCAGCGAGAGTACAACACATGAAGACGATGAAACGGCCGGTAAGTTAACGTTAAACTAGTTAGGAGCAGTGCAAAACAACGATGTCTGCAAACCACAGTTTATGTACCAAACGTTTTCTTGTACCATAGCTCATTAGCAGCAGCAGCCTCTAGTCTAGCTTGCTGCTAACAGCGAAGAACCAGGCCCCGTAATGTTACAAAGCACCAGTCATGAGCCCAACACACTGAAATGGGCAGGTAGGATTGTTATTTATTGAATATAAGAATTCGAATAATTAATGCTCAATGAAAAATGCCCTGAGACATTTAATGAAATAAGAATACTGCATTAACAAATCTGACTTAACTTGATCAGAAAGCTAAAAAGGGGGAAAAAATAACATCATTAGAAAGTAATACTGTAGTTAAAAACAGCGCAATACTTGTTTTATTCATTATTTGTGTTTAAGGACTGGATAACTGTAAATAATCTTGCGCAGAATATATATTCAGATATGGCAGAAAAGGACATTGCGATGTTTTAAAGAATAGTGTTGGAGATTTAGCTACCCTTTAATGTTCTCATATTTAAGAAAAATATTTGAAGTTTTAAAACAGCTGTGTCCTTGAAAATTCAATACATTTAATTTTAATCTTTATTTTCTACATATAGCTTATATATTTGTATTTATTTTATATTTTTTAATTTCAAGGTTTGGATATTTATGAGCGCTAGTTCTTGCCGAAAATAGATTTTGATACTGTTAAACATTACATTGTGTTAACTGGTCAAATCAATCTTCACTGAAGTACTGAATTGGTACTGACGTTATTTTAATATAGTCAGTCGTGAACTGAAGTGGGCCGAAACTCCAGGGCTGAAAAGAAATCCCACTCCGGCCCTGATTGGAACCACTATAGGGCGAGTACATTTTCAATTTTTGGGAAAATTATCCCTTTGTATCCTATACAAACAACTAATTTTGATAGTTTATGATGTTGTAGCTTTGTAACCAACAGTTGAATTCGTACAAAGAACAGTGTGCCCTTGTTTGGGGCAGTAAACCTTAGTTCACTGTATTGGGACTGTCCTTAATGTTAGTGTACATTAATTTAGATAAAAGTGTCAACAATATGACAACTTTGTAAAATAAAGACATTTAACTGATTAAAGACCAAGTTCTGAGCTTTCAGACTGGAAATCCACAAATCCCTGAATAGAGGTGGTCTACAAATGTCCTTGCCACAGTCTTGACCTTGAGTCAAACACTTAATGACAGGTTACTCCAAAGGGGCTGTCCTGGTAATACGTGCACCCTAAGTGGCTTAGAATAACACCTGCTACATAAACAATAACCAAAGAATCAGACAGAATAAGTGGATTTCTCAACAGGATTTGTTATAATAACGGCAAGGCACTGGATATTAGTTTGCAGCTCTTTTGAAATCTCCCATTTTCAGAGTTTGTAAATGAATGTGAGACAAAACCCAGCACATCTGTACTTTCAAATACTACACTCTCTGAGAGTTTCATCCTTTTAAAACTAGGTTTACCTCAGTGTTTCAGCAATGAGTTCATTTGCATAGCCAAATCTGATTGTTGACTGCAGGATACACACAAAATCTACACGTAACACTCCAACCAGAGCATCCCAGCAACGCACGCAAGTAAGGATTTAATGATTACATTGAATAAACAGCCTACTACATTTGTCGGGCAAGGAGCTTCCTCGTAGATAAGCCCAGGAGGCAAGAACCACA